AGATGCATTCTTGAAGGAGCTGAATGAAAAAAAAAACAGTGGCTGTTCAAGATATTTACAAATACGTCTGCTTACATAACATGCGGGAGCAACCAAGCTGCTACCTAACCAAGGCATAAGAGACATGCCCACAGGTTGTTCAGCAAGTCAAATTACCATCATAACACCACAAGAAGAAAGGTCAACAGATGCCAAAAGATACCAAGAACATTTCCTCAAGGTGGTTATTTTACAAGCACGGCATTAGGACATATGTATTTTAGGCTCATCAAACAGTGCAAGCACAGCGCTAGTACATAAGTAATTTAAGATACCATTGTAGCCTTACAGACTCAGTATTAGTTTAGGTTTAGAGATGAAAAAAAGGAGATCCGCTCCTCCCAAAAGGCGAGTACAACCAACAAACAACAACCAAATGTTGTCCACGTCATGGTGTAAGCAGATATAAATGCTAGGTTTATTTATAATTCCAATTATATATCATGATCTTGTCATATAATCACGTGTCATTTTATACATCTGTAAGTTTAACCGAATTCAATAATTAAAAATAATTTAATTGTAATAACGAAGAATTCGCTTATCAATATATTTCCAAGAATAAGTATTTTATTATTTATTTATAATATTTATATATCTTGACCTTGCCATATAATCACATGTCATCTACATATATTTTAAAATAAATTCATAAATTAAAACTCATTTTATTCTAATAACGAAGAATTTGCTTATCAATATGATTCCAAGAATAACTTTTTTATTATCAATAAAATTCCATTTTTCTCCCACCACGATGATTACATCAATTACAAGCCCCCTTTTTACGTTACACGGCGATATTAATAACTCAGCTATTTTCATGGACTGAGCATTCGTATAGCTGATAATCCCAATTTGATAACACAGCAGATTTTCAGACTGAAATCAGCTATAAATACAGAAGTATGGAGGCCACCAATTATAAGTTTCAATCGATTAGTTTTGAGGAGTAACATCACCGTCTAAGATGAATTCCGCATTGCAATTTAGGTAAGCTGTGACAAAAATGTAAGTCAAAGGAAAAAAATGAAATATTAAATTTTTTAGCTGCCTTCTGGTTGTCGTTGGATGTCTCCTACAAACAGGACACTGCCAAGGTGATGATGAATTCGTGACTAAGGGTCGTGGACTCATCGCGGTGTTTGGCAACCCTCCGGCTGACACATCCACTAGGGCCCGCAATGTGCCTGCATTTGTAGACTACTATGAGAAATACTCTAATAAGCTTGATCTAACAACTGAGGATCGACATAATGCTGATAACTTTTGTGAGGAGGTATAAGGATCAAACATCCCAGAAAATCGACGGTGTTTCGGCCCAAGGAGGATTCTGGTTGCCCTTTTTGGCTCCCATTGCTGCTGAGGTTGTGATAGCAGTCGGCAAGGCGATTGCTTCTGCATAACCATTTTCTAACTACTTGGAACATTTAAATGAAGATATTTAAATAAAAAAGGTTATTCAAGTGAAAGTTTTTGAAAATGTAAAAGCTTTATAAACAAATTTTGCAAAAAAAATAAATCTTAAAAACTGGCAAGGATAAACTGTTTTTTATTCGCTGGGAACTTACTATTAGTACATCTCTGATAACTGTTTTGATATCAAAATTTCGACATTTTTGCTGTAATAAGTTCCGATAAGAGCTATTAAAAAAGAACAACGACTATTAGTTGCCAGCTTCTCCCCTCGCCACTAATTTGTTGTGCCGCCACCTAGTGTTAGACGACTAGCTCTACCTAATGCTAGATTACCTTTTTCAGTGGCTCCATCTAGCGATATTTCAACTAGCGGCTCTGCCAAGCGGTATATTTCTTCAGTATTTTGCGTTGCACTACGAAAAAAGTGTGCTTATATTGTTTTTTCAAAGACGTTAAAGAACAATAATAAAAAAGATTATATTTTGTAGCCCTTCAATCATTATCAATATTAGGTCATAAACTACCGAGAAAATTGGTATACTTACTTAGGCATCGCAATCACTAATGTTGGTGCTCTCATTATTATTGTTAGATCAGAATATATTTATTTTTTTAACACATCCTAAGCCATTTTGTAAACATTGTAAATCATAAATGAATTAAAGATATACATACATGATTTATACAATTATTTATATAAAGTTGACAGCGCGTCTTTGGTGCTCCTACGAACTATATTTCCCTCTTCAATCCATATCCAGTCATTTTCATATTTGCATAATTATATTTAATAAATGTTCATTGTGCTTTATTGCTGTTTATTGCATGTTTATTTTTAAAATGATAAGCTAAGTAGCAGATTAAGTAGCCAAAGTTGATTATTTACTGGTCTCTATAAGTACATATAATATGTATATGGGTTTTCACCAAGCTTTCTTTTAAGTTACACATATTCGTTATATATATTATACACATATTTGTTATCAGTAAAATATATTAGCGATAATATATAAATAATATATAGCGACATATATAAATGTACATTTTTAAGCTCAGTTCAGTCTTGAGTAGATTGCTAAACATTTCACAAGTGCTCCGCGATGAAACAGCGTATTTTGTGGTTACTTCTGCTGTTTTTCCTTTTCGAGCTGTTAACTGTTTTAGTGGCAGATCCTGTCAAGAATATTGATAATCAAGATCATGTTGATCAGTGTAATGGATATTGTTTTTCTATTTTCAAGCCGATTCTTGATCATTTCGTTGAGTTGAAACAAGCCGCTAATAAAAATGAAGAACTTAAAGAAAAAGTTAATACTTTAATTAACCAACAACAAGGAATTACAGATTCAGTTGTCCAACGCAGATGGTCAAATTAAGAGCAAAGATGATCAAATTAAGAGCAAAGATGATCAAATCAAGAAGCAATCTGATCTGCTCCAAAGCAAAGAAGATACTATAAGGGACTTGCAGAGCCAATTAGCAGTTGCTCAAACACAGCTCAAGAACAAAGACGATCTAATATATATAAAGGAAGACCAAGTTAAAGACAAAACTGAACAGATTAAAAACAAAGAAGAGCTTTTACGACTTAAGGAAAAGCAAATAAAGGAAAAAGATGAAAGTATAAATCTTAAGATCACCCAAATTAACGAACAAAAGGCTGAAAACTTACTAAAATCCAATCAAATAGAAGATTTTCAAAATCAGATTAAGTCCGTAACGGAAAAGCTAAATGAAAAAACTGGGCAGCTTTCGATATGTACCCGATTAGATGGATGTCCCAGTGAAGGTCCTTCTGGCATTTACAAAATGAAAATGAGAGGATTAGACGCCTTCGAAGTTCCCTGCAATTCAACGGGCTGGATGATAATTCAAAGGCGTTTCGACGGATCCGGCAATTTCGCTCAAAACTGGGAGAGTTACAAAAATGGTTTTGGTGACGTTAAGAAAGAGTTTTTTATCGGTCTCGAAAAATTGCATCGCATGACGGAAGCACAACCCTATGAACTTTACATAAATCTTCGGGATGTGAATGGAACCAATCGTTATGCTAGATATGATAATTTCAAAATTGGAAGTGAAAAGGAGTCCTATGAGCTAAGTTCGATTGGAAAATATTCTGGCACGGCAGGAGACTCCCTAGGTTACCACGAGAAAATTAAATTTAATACTTATGACAAACCTAACAACGTTACTGACGGAAATTGCTCTTCAAATCACCATGGAGGCTGGTGGTATAATAAATGCGCGCGAAGGTATTTAAGTTAATCTAAAACAACCCTAAAATGTATACTAATAAAGATTTCAAATTACAGTTCCCTCAATGGCAAATATTACAAAGACGGGAAAAAAGAACGGAAAGGAGTATGGCATTCTTTGGGGTTCTTGGAGCAACTACAATTACGATATTTCGCTTACCTTTGTTGAAATGTTGATTAAACCTAAGCAAACATAAGCTTATTAATTACTTGTACAAATTCAGAAAATATTAATTAAATGACCTTTTCACCAAAGCATAGTGGGATATTTGGATCTAATCATCCCTTTATGTAATGAATATGCTTGTCAAATGTGAATAAAGAGAATTTTGTAACTTCATACGTATTGTGTCTTAATATGAATCCCATTTGCCAAATCAATATCAACAGACCAGATTGCCAGAAATGGATGGTTGAGGTATATGCCAAATGTCGAGATCTGTTCAGTACGGATCCGATGCCCATGTGGGAACCAGATGTTAATGATACCCCTGCCGTCTATAAGGCGGATATTAAGGAAATGACTTCTCTAGATTGCCATAAGCTAAAACGTGAGTTGGCCAATGAAGTAGCCGAAGAGGATGATGATTTTGCTATGAACAGAATCGTTGGTGTCCTTCTAGCCTTTGGGGCAATCGTTATGCTTATCATCCTTCTGTGCAGGATGAAGCGTCGTAAGAAAATATCTGATGTGCCTCCAAAGCTCGAACCAGAGAAAGCTCCTCCAATTTTGTTTCGCAGAAAAAAAAGAACTAGAACTGCCGATTGCAAGAGCTGGATGCGTAGAAAATGTCGACCCATTTTTCTTCACAATGAGGCCCAAATAAGACAGTACAAGGAGCATGCTGAAAAGGAGTTAGCTTTTCATACGGAACGAACGAAGAAGAAGATTACAATGTGGACGAAGGCCCGGGAACGGGATGCCCAAAAGAAAATTGATAAACAGCAACGAAATGCGGAAAAGGCCGCTAGAAAAAACCAGATATAGAAATATATAACTGCATCGGTTTTAATATATTTTTAAAAGACAATTCTAATCCCACTAATTTCTTAAGACACAACGACATACATACAATTCGAAATCAATCGATATTGGGTTTATTAGCTTTATTGTTTATTTTACTCAGATCACAATTAATATTGCTGTCTTAGAATTATTGTGTTGGGCAAACAACACATCAAATGATACAAAAGCAACTAGGCCTCTTCGAAATTCGACTTAGATTATTCAAAACTGTTGTGAAATACTTGAAAAATATGTTGCATATAACAAACTCCTTTGGACCCTTACAAAAGGACTAACATTTGCCACTAAAAGTGTGCGTACTAAAAACTTATTTACTTATAAAGAAAACTTTGTTTTTAAGGCAAAGGTTGTAAGTCACGTTCTTGATTGCATACAGCGCCTAGTTTATATATCTATATATATATAAATATTTGTAAATAATTTTATTTTATTTTATAGCCATCGAAAAGAAGCGATGATGAAATGTATTAAAAATGTCTTTTGTTTCGGATCTAGTACAAAAATCAGTAGCTCTTCAAGCTTATATATCAAGTAATTAGTTTTAGTTTTGTGTAAATCTTTAAAAATGTATCCAACAAGCCAGTGCTTGATATTTAATAGTTTGTTCCATTTAGTATTTAGGTATACGTAAGGCTCACTCGTAGTACGTTTAATTTGTGGCGAGATCAATGAATGCGCTCTAGTGTGCGAGTGTGTGTGCAGGTGTGCATAATCGATATATATATAAATATATATAAAAAACACGAGCTTATACTAAAATAATCAACTATTTATAACAAATATGCAACTGATAACTATGCCATTTGCTCAATTTACTTTACAAGTACTGTAATCTGCCCTCATTTAAAGCTAATTCGTTGTGCAAAACATTTCGATAATATGATAACATTTGTTGATGACTTTCAGCAAGTTAAGGCTGCTTGGTCCAAGGTTCCTATATACAGTCGCTGGCCCAGCAAATCTATGTGAGCTTCTTGGCCCATTTCAGGTCGTCATCGCGGGGCTTAAGACCGGTGAAATGCTCGATGATAAGCTCGAATGTTGACCAGAATCTGTAAAGTAAACACCATAACTATGATTTTCGTTCAAAACTAAATCGATTTCAGATCAAACCTTATTCGTTCCAGTGGCCAATTTAGCCATCCGGTGGTGATGCAAAAGTACGTTTCATGAGGTGCCACATGGTGGATGCGATGATGCTTGCGTGGCAGGATAATGTGACAGCTCTGGAGTAACAGGACCCATCTCGGCAAGCCCCAATAGGTGTGCGACCATTTGTGTATCTAAACGGTATTTTATAAAGTTTATTAGAGCTATTAAATAAGCATTCCATCTTACCTGATTGGTCATGGCAACAAATATGGAACAGAGAAACACATAGGCTATCCAACCGAAATGTTGCTGAATCTCACTCGGCGTCCTTATGTAGAAAAAGTGAGCCAAATAGCCAAGGATTGGTATGCCCAACCATGAAGTTGTCACCGTTTGTCTCAATGAAATCGTGACGCGTTATGGATGTGGGATCCAGGTGATGCTCTCGAAAAGGTCGTAGGAAATTCTAAAACAAATATATGATTAGATAAAAAGAAAAGATTTCCATTTATATTCCGCTTACCTTTCCAATCATGGGTAAGTCCACCGATCCCCATGTATCTGCCGCCCAGTGCACTAAGCCAGAGGCAAAGTCAGCCGTTATAATGCCACATAATGCGGATAAGAAAGCTACACTTATCCGTTCCAATCGCAAGTGCCTAACAATCAAAGCCAGGTTGATGATCATTAGGCCAATACAGGTGTAAACACAAATGATTTCCTGGGCGCGTTTCCCTGCGAAATTAGTTAGAGAAAGATGCCAAAGTTTATCTTGCTTTGTTGTAATATCTTAAAAAAATCTTATAGTATCTTAAGTCCTAGTCCTCATTTTTCACTATAATTATAAATGGATAAATTAAAAATACCTAATGGTACTTTAACCATATGAGGTAATAAGCTAGTTTAATAGTTTAATTTGTGGGAAAAGCTCACCTGGACTGTATAACGAGGCTAGTTCCTGGGCGCCTTTATTCTGTGGTCCCCAACGTGGCGAAGTCGAAGTTATGGTCACTGGGTTGACTGATGTTGTTATGGCACCAGTGGTGACCTTTAGTTCCTCCGGCATTTCCGATTCCTGATCCTTTGTGGTGGCGGGCGCTGAGTTGCCATTGGGGTCATCCTCATACATGGAATTGGCCAGTATATCCTTATCGCTTTTGGCCGTCATCGTCTGTGGATTAAGAGGCCAAAAGAGGAATCACAAAGCTGTCGAGTCGAGCGGAATAAACAACTTGAAGTCCTTGATGACGGCTCCTGACTGATTGACAATGCAATGCCTGATTTCAATGTCAGGCCACCGACTCGATTGCCTGTGAATAGGGGCATCTGGATCAATCGGTCGCCCCTACATAATTAACGATTGCGAGGACAACCAGGTGGGTGTACATTTTGTAAACGATATATTTAAATGATTTATTTAACTGTTTTCAAACAAAAAAAGCAACTATCCCCGTATAGCTGTAGCGTAACCGAAGGATTGACCGACGCGTAGCTCCAACCAATGACCTCTGGTCAGGGATCCCAGCATGTTGCGGCGTTGATGTCATTACCTACAGCTGCAGCGACTTCCCTCCTTTTCGGTATCCTAGAACCTAAACCCAAACCCGAATGACGGGTCACGCAATATTTTGGACTTACGACCGGTCTGCAGGGACCACCACCAGAAGCTAACTCTACCGAATGAGTTGTCAGTGGCGGAGGCGCGGTCTAGAGGTGCCTTAATTAGGCAAATTGGTATTTAAATTGTTGTGAACCCTATCTATCTCGCTTATTTGAGGTAGGTTGAAAAACGCGATGGGCCGAAGTATTATATTTTTAGCAGCTTATTTGTTTCTTTGTTATTTGGTTCTTCATATTCGATGGCGTATGATAAATGGGTCTAAACACGAACTGTGGGCGGGAATGGTGTATAACAAAAAAGTTTCATTTGGGCATATAATAAGAACAGTACAATGTTATAGGTAGTAAACAACGATGACACTTACACCTCAAGATATACCTATATCAGTGGATTAGAAAATTGATAAGACAAGTATAGACAAATAATATAAAGCCATATATGATTGTAGAGCTAATAAATGCATAAGGCCCATAAAGATTGGCTCTAATATCAAAATAAACAATAATTTTCTTTATATGTATCCCTAAATTTCATGAAAATCACCATAACATTGGTTACATTCCATTTTTTATCAATTAAGGATATTTTTGTTTAGGACACGAAATCGACAAATGCGCTAGCAATTACATTAATTAGTATATTCAGAATCGGAAATATTACACAAATTAACTGCTCCCACATTCTATAGGCCATCTGTCATTAGGAGAACTAATGGTGAAAGCACATTAATCAAAACTGGCAACTACCTATTGATAAAGCACCTCCGAAACACGCGTGGGCATACATATATATTAACCACTAATGTTACCGAACTCAGGAGTCTCGAAGGACACGGAAAACGGGACCCATAATCTGACGGCTGAGTTCCAAAACGCCCCCGCTGGCAAACGCAAACATTTCCGGGTGACGTGCACCGGCCAGGATAAACAAAAAACGGACGGAATGAACACCAGTAGAGCGCTGATTCAAATTTCAAAAATAAATGCGAACCGCTGAAGTTCTGGGTGCAAATGGTGCTGTTGTGGGTGAATAGTGGGCGGTGAATGGTGGGTGTGGGTTTAGTAGTAAACCGAGAAACCCAAATGAATGTGAGAATGCCGACAACTAAATTCTTTGGCGCCGACTTCAATGACGCCCACGCCTGTTCTGAATACCCTGTAATCATGGGGTATAATTAACAGCTTAAAACAACTTAAAAAGTCTCTCCAAGAAGGTTTTTGATTTCTTACAAAGAAAATCAATTGCATTTGAAAGTTTATATTATTTAAAAGGAGTGTAATTTTTTGATTTTTTTAATTATATCCTATCAATATTTTAGGCAAAAATATTTAAAAGAGAAAAAACTAATGAACGGTTGATTTTTAATTTATCGTAGCATACTTTTAAACGCTTTTATCAGTGCATTTAAACTTCTAGGAGTAAATAGTAATTTATAATTTACAAATTTAATATAAAACTAGGTCGTTAAAATACAGAGAACTTCGTCCTTCGAGTCACCCAAGTGACTAATTATTTGTTTGTTCGCTCGCGAAAGGCATAAAAAAGGGGGCACAGCCAACAGGTATTAATTTGGCACAAAGTAACCACGATTTTCGTTGTGGCGCCGTTGGAATATAACAATTTATTACACGAAATGCGCGAAAAGACACTCCACAATGGCGAAAATTGTTGTTGTTGTTGTTTCCCAACGGGTGAGGGGGGATACAAAAAGGGCCCAAATTTGTTCTTTTGTGGTGACAAAACTATCAGCTTTTGTTTGGTTGCCAACAGCGCTCTCATTTTTAAATATTTGTAGTTGGCATAGGGGTATTAATAGCCCTGTTTATTTGTTGTGGCGACTTTTTGCAATTGATAAGAACATTTCAATGCGGCTCTATTTATAAAGGCAAGCGGGCTAAAAGCAAATTGACTCACCTCTTTGCAGGTGTTATTGTTGTTACTATTGGTAATTTGGGTACTCCCCAAACGTTTTCGAAGACCAATTCTTGATTTCTTGTAACAATTAAAACTAAATGACCGTCTGCCAAGTATTGATTAGGACCGAAAAACTTTTGCACGCAAGCGATTGTTTAGGATTTACTAACTTTGAATTACAGCGAACCTGAGCGTCGGCGTCTCCTATTTTTTTTATAGTGGCATCTAAATGTAAATAAATGCCGTTTTTTGTTTTGTATGCACGTGATTTAGGGCTGCCCCACCGTAAACACACACATGCACACCGCGCACTCTCGCACACACACACACACACAGCGCACGAACTGCAGTAAGAGTACCGCTACTTTGCACCAGTAAATTCCGAAAGAAACTAAACTAACGGCAAAAACGAAACGTACGACTACGGCGCAGCCATTTTCATTCATGCCCGATGTCGCATTTGTGTGGGTGTGCATGTGTAGGTGTCGGCATTTACCGTTACATTCAAGAGCCTTCTTGATTTTGGTTATGTTGCAATACTCACGGTATATTTTAGCGGTTTCAAGCGCCGCAGTCGGTAGTTTTAAGCCTTTTTTTCTGATATATAACTTAAATTTTGACAGTTAAAAAAGTGCAAATGCTTATCGAAGGATTTATAATAACAATATAATATACCCTGCGAAACAGAATATAATTATTAAATGCAGCCAATGAAATCCAAAACGAAGAACTGAGACAATAAAGTTGTAGAATTTTTAGAAAAAACAAAAAAAAAAAACAAAAATCGCCAAAAAATTAAATAAAATATTTTGCTCAAAAATATTTTTGATAAACATACTTTTGGGAATACCGCAATGAGTGTTCCACCCCTGGATTAATCGAGAACCAATACTCCGACAATGTTGCCAGCTTGTTTAAAAACCAGCTGATCGGCCGGCTGCACGCAACTTACCTTGTTACGTCGTTACTAAAAACAAATTCGTTGTATTCAATTAAAATGTTGCCTATTGCTCGTGGAATTTACTGCGGACTGGCCAATCTAACTCGAAGTGGACGGGTATCTATTCACACCGCCAGTATATTCCGTTGCAAGGCGGAGGCTTCCGCCGATGAAAAGGATGGCGAAGCGACCGAAGGCGATAGTTCGACTAGTTCCGGACCAGATCCAAAGGATCGCACCACGGTTATCCCTGTGGAGACTTCAATGCGGTACATGAAAAGCTCCGCCTACAAGCAAACCTACGGCAAAGACCCAGTCTGGACGCAATATCGGTAAGTATTCAATAAAAATACTTATTTTGTGGCGGAAATTCCAGAAAAATTCATCTTTGTTGCTTATCCTAAATTAAAAATATTAAACATTAAAATAATATTTATAGGCGCAACCACAAGGGCATGTATGCGCCACGTAAAACCCGCAAGATGTGTATCCGCCAGAATCGGATTTCCACCGGAAATCCATGTCCCATTTGCCGGGATGAGTACCTGGTTCTGGACTACCGCAACACTGAACTACTAGAGCAATTCATCTCACCACATAGCGGAGAGGTCCTGAGCTACTCGAAAACTGGCCTGTGTCAAAAAAGCCATTTACAACTGAGGGTAGCCGTGCAGCAGGCCCGTGATTCTGGATATTTAACATATGATGTTCCCTTCAGGGAGTACGATTACAGCGAGTACTACGGCCAGGAGCATAAACAGAAAGCTTAACTACTACTAAGGTGCATATGTAAATGGTCTATTTTGTTATTAAAGAAAATTATTCTAATCGAAGTGGCAAGGTTTTTTTTATAGAGAAAAGTAATTTTTCATTATACATCAAATTTTCAATTAAAGAACTTCTTTAATTAGAAATTAATGGAAAAGCGTAAACTTTAAAAGTGTAAAATTTTCAAGCGGAACTAAGTAAAATGTGCGCTAAGACTTTAAAGCTCCGTTTAGTCTGGAATAGCTTACGAAACTTTCAACAAGTGCAATGAAAAAATGAAATCGTATATTGTATTGCTGATTATGTTGCATTTGCTTTTAAAAGTGGAGCAGGTCTACCAAGAGCAGTGCAATTCACAAAAGGACTACTTAAAAACACTCGAGAGAACTCAAAACAGTTTGCGCAGACAACTTATAAAGTGCAACGAAAAAACAAGGTGTCCCACCAAAGGTCCAGTTCGAGTTCAAAGAATGGCAATTATGGGATTAAATCCATTTCCAGCTACTTGCAAAGAAAATGGTTGGATGGTAATTCAGCGACGTTTTAGCGGCTCTGAAAAATTTAACCGTGGATGGAAGTTTTATAAGAACGGATTTGGGAATTTCAATAGAGAGTTTTTCATTGGTCTGGAAAAATTGTATATCATCACGAAGGCAAAACAATATGAACTTTACATAAAGCTTCGTGATGTAAGGGGCAACAATCGCTATGCTCAATACGATCATTTCGAAATCGGAAGTGAAAAAGAGAGTTATGTGCTAAAGTCCGTTGGGAATTATTCTGGTACAGCAGGTGACTCCCTAAGTTACCATGTGAAAAATGAAGTTCAGCACATTTGACAGGGATAATGACTATCATCTTAACAATTGCGCCAAATATCACCATGGTGGATGGTGGTTTAAAAAATGTGCTATAAGGTATGGTTTTTAAATATATACGATTTTTTTATAATTTTGATAAATTAAAATTACAGTTCGCTGAATGGAAATTATTATAGAAGTGGCAGAAGGCCTTATGGAAAATATTATGGAATTTTTTGGGCTTCCTGGAATAAAGATTACGACTTTAATATGTCGCTTGGCTATGTTGAAATGATGATCAGGCCTAAGTGCTTATTATTCGAAATCCTTTAATTTTCGAATACCCTGAATTCGTTAAAAATATCAGGTTGCCTCAATAAATTATGGGTTACTAAACGTTGCTTAAGCCTAGTTTTTAGTTCTTAACTTGTTTAAGAATTAATGAGTATGAAAGGCACTTGTAGGTCTTTGAATGTTTTTCGGTTAGCTTACTTAAGATTTATTTATCAAGTAGTTTCTTATAAAAGTTAACAGATTTAATTGTTAAAGTGCATAAAATATCCCTAGGCCAATAGAATGTTCTCCTTGTTCTCACCCTCGAGTTCCTCTTCAAGGAGTCGCTGATGCGAGCGCTGAGCCAGCAGCTGATCAGATTCGTTATAAACGCGTACGTTCCTCTTGCAATTGTTAAAGCAGCAATTACCAAGTATGTTTTCCTCATTGTACCTATAAAAAATTAAATCAGTTTAAACAAGATTTGTACTTTCTTTCTTTAAATAACGAAAACATTTTAAACTGTCCTGCAATCATCATTCTTACCGTTGCAGTTCGCTAAATTCTTTTAGAAACAGAGACTTTTCCGTTCTTCCCTTTTCGAAGGCTAAGCCATCTGCCAAGATGCCCAGTTTACAGGTGTCAAAGGTGCACTTGCTTCCCTGCAAATTCACCGAAGCTGTTTTTTCTAGCAACTCTAATCCTGTTATGCAGTTCTTAAACTGGACACTTCCCATCTCAGCGCTAGATCGAGATCGCATTGACACCCCCACAGCAAAGTTTTCAATCAGACAACTTTTAAGTTCCACACTGGCGCCTGGCATGCAGACGATACCTTCCTGGGTGCTCGAGTTCCCATCGCCCAATAGCCGACACCCTCGCATCGTCAAGGTGCCATTTCGCAATAGAATGCCCCTACGGACGTGACGGCAATCCAAGACCAGTTGGGATAGGGTGTAGTCCCCATCAATGACTAGCAGAGTGCTATCCTCATCACTGGAACATACCACTGGCAGTGTAGAAAGATCTACAGCAGGAGTTAGTATAGTTTCCGGGTGGACCAGGCCACTCAGGCTGCCATTGTCGTTGAGGTGCTCCAAAAACTTGATTGTATGTTCGCCAGGTGATAGCAGTATGTCGTCATTACTCTGGCAGATACTCAAAACATCCTGGAGCGTATTAGACAACTGCACCTGCGTTTCCGGCTTGACCAACGTCTGGGCCAGCTTCAACAGATCCAGCTGCTGCTGCAGTTTTCCAGGCATGGTGACCACATGGGTAATGGGAGTGCGCTCTGTCAAAAGGTCCTCTGTTTGCCTGGCTTTTCCAGATAAGCTGCGAAGCCTCTTCAAGCTGTTCGACTGCAGTTCACTGTAGGCCCTTCTCATTTCAGGGTTCTCAAGGATTTCGAACTCACTCTTTATGATTGCCATTCGAAGGTGAAGGCACATCAGATCTGTCACGGGCAGGGTGGAAACATTGAGACTGCCATTGGCACTTCCCGTCTTAGGCTGTTTCCTGGCCGGCTCCGTGGCATTGTCATTGAGCTCAACGGCCTCATCGTCGCTCTCAGCATCGCTGAGATCTAATTCCAGGAAGTCCAAACGCTGCTGGATGTAATGGGCTTCGTTAAGCAGGGTGCGCATGTGCAAGGCCAGAGGACGTGGTAGACGATTCTTGCTAAGATCGCAGACTAGTTGGATTCGAGCCTCCAGATGCTGCTGTACCCAGTCACGATCATCATCATAGTCCTTATCCCAGGGCATCCACACATGCGTATAGAAAAATCTCAACCGATCAATGCACTCCGCCGTGGTGTCCACATTCAAAGCAGAGTTCTCTTGCTTCACTGTGGGCCACAGCTCCACCAGGGACACCTCGTTGCTCTCCGGCAGGTGTACATCGTTGTCCTGTACGGCGGTGACTATGAAGACGGCCTTTAGCTCGTCAAAAATTACCTGTTCCACGTAGCCGTAAACAATGGTAGGATAGCGTAGTTTAAGATCCTCGCAAATAACGCGTGGTATTTTCCAAATCGCCTGCCAGCCTATATATATAGATTAAAATTATAAACTAGTCTTTGTTGTTTTTGCAATAGTGTGGGTGGCTTACCTGCAGGCTCAATTTTCAGCTCTACATAAGATTTCCACTCGGACCGAACCTGGGAGGCGGGCATTACAGCTCCCTCCCATGAAAGAACCGCCTCTGCTTCCTTCAGTCGCTCCAAATAAGATTTTTCAAAGGTAAAAACTTCCATTTTCTTCTACTTAAATAATAATGTGTACGTTTATACAGATTTTTGAAATGCGTGTGCAAGCTAAAGGCTTCGATAACGATTGTTTGGGCGGACTTATCGGGCAATGCAACCATGAGACAAATTAAAATAGCTATATTTGCGACAAATCTAGCTATTATATTTAATTCGTTTAATTATTAGCTAGTTATATATTAATTTTAGCCTTAGGTTTTAGTTAGTATCTAGTTAATATATGTACTTATGACCTAATTTTTATTTCCTTTATGTCAAAATAAACTGTTCATATTAATTAGTATTCATATTTCTTGCTCTGGCTTTTTTTGGCTAGCTTTTAAAACTTGCTATCAAATGTTGCCAGCAATGCTACAAGTATCGATGCCAACAGATGTTAAAGTACTCATTTAGTCCGGTGTTTTTTGTGTAAACACTGAATATTTACAAAATTTTAAGTAAAATGGCTTCGAATAATATTCCAGAAGAGAGTTTTGAAGGCGGCGATGTAATATCATTGTCAACAATTTTCTTCCAAGCCACCGAATCACATTTTTTAATTTTTAGTTCAATTTCGATGACGATGCGGAGGATGATCAATTTGTGGCCACAAATTCAGGAAGAAAGCGCCTTTTTAGCAAGGAGCTGCGATGCATGATGTTTGGCTTCGGGGATGACAAAAATCCATACACGGAAACCGTTGATCTGCTGGAAGATCTAGTCATCGAGTATATAGCTGAAACAACGCACCGGGCAATGGAAATCGGTCGAACAGGTCGCGTTCAAGTCGAGGACATTATCTTTCTGGTGCGCAAGGATCCTCGTAAATATGCCAGGGTCAAGGACTTGCTCACCATGAACGAGGAGCTCAAAAAGGCGCGAAAGGCCTTTGATGAGATCAAGTATGTGGGTGAGTATCGTAAATATCAGGAATCCGTCGAGATCTTGATAAATACTCACAATTTTCAGGCACCGAGGGTAAGCTCAAATGACAACGACCCAAAAAAGGAACGCCAAATCCAGGAACGAGTCAATCCTAGCAGTAAGCACAAGCATATGAATTACTTTAAATGTTTTTAATATCCTAAGCTAGCTCTTAATAAACTAATCAAAATAGTCTTCAATGTCAATGTCTGGATTAAGTATATCATCTCCGTAGGGCTCCAGATCGATGCCGTTTAGTATCAGATTCTCGCAGGTTTCTGCAAGATCAGTGTCGCCGATAAGAATAGCTCCCCGTAGTTTTCCCCTCTGAAGAACAAACTTAATGTACTCCTTGTTGCGAGTGCATCGTACCAGGATTTCGTAGTCCTTATCCAAATCTTGGCCGTTAAAACGACCCAGCAGGACTACAGGGTAGCCAAAAAGTTTTGTTACATGACCAAAGAGTTCGAAGCAGAAGTCCTGATACACGGTTTCGCCCTCACTGGTGGCTGCCATACTTCTGCCCGCCATAGAGCCCATTTGCCGGGCCTGAGTCCAAAGACGCATCTGGAACCAGTGCATTGCTGCTGGCCATTTGGCCGTGCAGACATCACCAGCTGCATAGACATCCTCTAGATTAGTACGCATCATTTCATCAACGGAAATACCGCCATCCTCGGAAAATTTGAGCGCAGAATCGCAGGTGAAGGATGTACGCGGCAAGACTCCCGTAGCCGAAACAATAAAGTCACAGGTCACCTGCTCCAGAGTCCCATCCTCGTGTCGCAATTGGACTTTAAGACTCGTACCATCGAGATGGTAACTGTCTATACTAGATTTATAATAAATCTTCGGTAGGCACTTATCTCCTTCTCCAGATGCTCCACTCAAATCAAACGTGCGATGCCAGTCCGGACCCAAAGCAGCTCCTTTCTTGCTAGCCTGCTCCCTGGGCAGATTTTCACTATAACGCATCCGTTTAATGGCCGTTACCGGAGAAGAATCCTTCGCATGCAATTCACTCCTAGCCAGATGAAAGAATTCCGCTGCTCCTGGATCCACAAAGGTGGCAGTGGTGTGGGCATCTTTCACCACCCAATGGACATTTACATTCTTCAGCTCGTAGGCCAACTCACTGGCTATTCCGCCATTGCCCAGGATCATAATATCCTTGGCTCCCGTTAATTTGCGCTGCAATTCCAGTACAGAATCCGTGTCTCGAATGCCAATGATGAAGGGATCTGCTATTTGGCCACAGAATAGTTTTGGAACTCCACCAGTACAGAGACACAGAAAGCGATACTTAATCACCAAACCAGTTATGGTTCGGATCCAGTGCTCTTTGCTGTTAATGTGCTCTAGTTCATCTACTAGGGTCTCGAAGGTGGCTTCCATTTCAGAGACATCCTTCTCCCGCACATCAAACGAGTGCAAATATCGAGCCACCGGCACCAAATTCACGACACTCTTCACAATGCTGGATTCTGTGAGCAGCAAGATGGAGGCATTGGGTCGGCAAATGGCCAAGGACTCGGCACAGGTAACGCCTGCAATGCCGCCACCGACCACCAGAAACTCGCACTCCCGCGTCATCCTCAGCGGAGAATAATAATGAAACAAAATCACGAAATAGGGAAAGTGATTCACTAACGACCAACTAAACAGCTGATATCAACGACAGTGAAACCTGATTATTAAAGTTCAGATCTTGAGAATTGGTAATATAGTGGACTTAGTTTGACAATAGGTAAACATTTCTGACATAAATATCATAGATATAATAACATGTTGATTTATTATCATAAATTATTATAAAAGGAACTAAATTGGAATCAAAACTTCAATCTTCCTTTTATTGATTTAAAAGCACACAATTTTGGCGGGTACATGTCAGCTGTTTTTGTTTACTTCGTATTTGATAAATACCAACAAATAATGCAGCCCTACTGAAAAATACTAAACTATAAATAAACGAACCCCATTCGATAGCCACTGGAATATTGGCCAGTATCAACAGAACTTTAACGGTAAACGGCTTTATTATCAATTCTTAACTTTAAAAAGAAAATAGATCACCATGTCCAAGGAACATTGGATGCGGGATCTGCCAAGCGGATTGCGCGAACTGTCAATCATCAATTTAGCTATTCCAGGTATGGATGAGATCACCACACTAATGGAATTAATTAATGGCGTCTCCAACCAAGTAAAGGTTCACACAACTCAATGACATATGGCATAAATAGCAAGTCCAAACTATCGCCCGATGCAGAAACTTCCATAAGACGATGGCATCGGTTCTTTCCCTGCTTCGTCCGCCGTTGGAGCAAAACACAAAATTTCGGGGCGTTGGAACAACTGCAACTGGGAGTGCGATACTTTGATCTGAGGATAGCCCAGAAAGATGATAAGTTTTACTATTGCCATGGGCTCTTTTCCATGGAGATTTTCGAACCACTTCTGGAGATCCGTCAGTTTGTAGATTCGCATCCAGAGGAGGTTGTCATCCTGGACCTGCAGCATTTCTACGCACTCACAGTGGGCCATCATCAGCAGCTGCACAAGGATCTGATCCAGTTTTTCGGCCATCGACTGTACTCCACTGCCGATGGACCTCTCAGGGAATGTACTCTCCGACGATGTCTAGAGATGCAACATAATGTTGTAATCATTTATAGAAGGTGTCCCATTCCACTTCCTCTAAGATTTTGGCCAAGTTATGCTTGGCCCACACCGTGGCCAAATAAAGCGAGCGTGAAGAAGCTTCAATCGTTTTTGGAAGACTCTCTATTGTCGAGACAACCTGAGCAGGGATATGTCTCTCAGTGCCTTATCACTCCCACTGGACGCTATATTGCCTTCCGACTTTTCTTCACCCTGAAAAGCACAGCCAAACGGGTGGATAAAAAGCTACAGCCTTGGATTCAGGAGCAGATTCCAGGTCCCTTTGAGGCAAAGGAGGAGCCTAAGGTTAATGTGTTCCTTGCCGATTTCGTAGAACTTAAGGATGGGCAGTTTTGTGATTGGGTAGTTGAGCTAAACACAAAATTGGAGAATCAAATGGCTGAGGATGAGGTACCAGAGTCTACTTGAGAATGGTAAAATTCACAGATTGAGGTACTTTTTATATCCAATATTGGGATTATTTTATATGTAAAAAAGCTGTAGGAATGATTAGCTTTAATAGAGCCAAACGGTGATATTTCAGGCTAATATGTTTATTAAGCAAGAAGTTCCGCAAGTCAAATATTTCTAAAACATTTACAAAAAAACACATCCTTGTTATAGCGAAAACAGTCGCACAAATATTGTTTTCAAAAATGTTTAATGTAAATCAGTACGAAAGTAACTTTTCCTTGTTGGTGCTATCAATATTTTATTTTTAAAAACCAATATACAAAATATATATATATATTTAAAAACATAAAAAACAAACACAAAGCACATTGCAGCATAAAATCTAGTCCAAGGTGCGAACTAAGCGTCGTCAATCGATAAGAAAGCGCACAGCCTTCTGTGTTTTAGTTGGTGAGGTGACACTTGCAGTGGCCTCTGCTCGGGCCAACGAAGTGTGCATCCCATTGAGCACGGTGTCCATACGAACCAGAGCCTCTTGCAGGCTTACGGCCAGAACACCGTTGTCCTGATGATTTTCCCGCTCGAGAAGGGCACTTTCACAGTGCCTTCGCAATCGCTGAGCGGATCGCTGCATTACCTGCAGCTCCTGTTGGACGAGCGTCGTGAAATTACTCTGGTTACCTGGCGTTTCCTCGGCATCATACGTTAGCAAGCGTTTGGTGTAATGAACAAATTGACTGCCAGGTGAGGGAGTGGATGTCTGGCGGGGTGTATTGCTACTGCTGGACACGTTAAGTAGCCTCTTCAGCGGTTTATTCAATAACACATCCTTCATGGCACTCAGATTCAAGGCGATGCGGCTAGAGTTATGAGTGTCGCTCAGTGTTTCATTTAGATCCGCGTCCAGTGGCTCCCAGTCAACCTCAACACTTTGAAAAATGGTTCTAGCATTTAGTTTCTCCTGCTGCTCCGCATTATCCCTGACCAAATCCAACCATACTCCCAGTCTGGCAGTGGGCCACTCGGCCTTAAGACCTCGCTGCTTGTCCAGGATGAGGATAACGGTGCGTAGCAAGCCAAACTCATCCGGCGTCTGGGTTTGTCGGAATTCCAATGGCAGATCCAATTGGCGACAGCGTTGGGTGGCCTCCTTGACCATCAGCTGGGTCTTATGAAGACTCTCTTCCGAGGGATTCAGCATGATGCGTTGAATGTCTTCTAGAATGGTGGATTTCTGTGCAGGAGTAGATACCGCATCCTCCTGCCTTAGGGGTGTGTGCTCCTGCTGCTGGGCTAAGGCCAAGGCTTGGCGCTCAGTCTCTAACATCTCACTGTTGCACTTGTACTTAAACTGCTCCAGTTCGAGGCACTGCAGCCGTTCCTCAAAGTCTCGAGCATGCTGAGCCCGCTCCTGTTCGATCCGAGTGAGGGCAGCACGCTTTTCCGCCTCCAGTTCAGATCGCAGTTGCTGCTCCTGTTTCTGCAGAATCTCCTGGTGGGCCAACTGGAAATCGACGGGATTTTCAGCCTTTCCTCTTTGCGAGCAGAAGGGATTGGAGATGCGAAAATAGTGGGAACCACCGATTACCAGGCGGTCGCCGTGGAACAGCTGACGACGATCCTCCAGGAGTTCCCCGTTTACATAGGTCTCAAAGTCCTCGCTTCCTGGAATGACATACAACTTGCCACCACGTTCATGTTCAATGATGCAGTGCTGCAACGCCACCAATGGACCGTCTAGCACGATATCCGGCTGAGAATTGGCACTGCCTCCTGGCAGTCGACCTCTTCCTATGCGCACGAGTCCTTGAGGCAGCAGGTAGAACAAAGTGCCACTAAGTATGGGATCCGCCGTTAGATTAACCAGACATGCCTGCTTCTGCTCGGCGGTTAGTTCCAAAGCCAATCCCCGGCGTTTCAAGACACGCAACTCCGACTTTCGTTGATCCTCCGCCTCCTTGAGCTTCTCCATCCACGACTTTTGCGCTCGACTCAACTCCCTTTCCCGTTCAGCCAGCTGTTGACGCAGTGCCTCTACTTCTGTCTCATCCACCGAAGTTTCGATAATGATCTTTCGTGGCACGGGATTGTTATTATTACCGGATAAACGCCTCTGACGCTCATACTCGTTTCTGAGCGATTTCAGGCGATCCACTTCGGCACGCAAATCCCTGATGATCTTGTCGTGGGGCGATTCGTTAACCTTCACCCGATTAACAATAGAACGCGCCTTACATGCATAACGCAAAGTGGCCAAAGTCTCATCCGCATGCAGGCTAGCCGGTGATATGGTGGCCAACATGACTGTCTTCGAGTTACCGCCCAGATTTTCCTGGAAAGAGGGACAGAAACAGTTATATTCAGAACTCTGGAATGCATCTCGGGTGAGTAATTATATTGTTTTGATGTTAATCTCTGGGGTAAATCAAGTTATTAATTGGCAGGGTCAATATGGCAAATGAGTTAAGTGTAAAACCTGGTGCTTGACTTTCTCACTTTTCGTTTATTAAGTGTTACTCACTCATAGCAGTAAATATTATTTTTGCCATTAACTTTCAAGAAATAAAAAACAAATGGATTATCAATTTCAATGAATTATTCCAATTTGTGATGTAGTACATTAACATTTCTATATATTATTTAACAATTAGCCTTTCAGATTATTACCCAAAATATTACAAAATTCAAATCACATTCAAAGCACGAAATGTGTTGTGGGTATGCCTAAAAACCAAAATTTATTTTTATTTACAGCATTTTGGGCACCTGAACACTATTTTGTTAATATATGCACATATATTTATATATTTATTTGTTTTTGGAATGTAATACCGTCTTATTAATTACTTATATTGAATTGTTATTGGAAATGGTCCATTTAATATTATTGTGATAAGAATGAGATATGGCTTGAATATAATAATGTATAAAGAATCTTCTCTTATCAGGCAAATGAAAAACCTGGTCTCGCTATAAGACATTCCCCCCTCGAAAGCTATAAGTCAAATTGATAAGAAACTTTTTTTAACTTTGTGAACATTTTTTTTTTTTGAAAAACAATATACCTCTTTATGTGATGGGTACGATGATTAACGATCTGTAAGCATTGAGCCCAAGGCACTTAAAAGCACTCAGAACAGATGCGTAAAAATATCAAGGAATGGAAAATAGACAATCTAAACCTTCGAGTATGTGTTTTCGATTGTGGACTTAGAGCGATAAGGACGAGTGAAATGATAAGACTACGCCCAACTCTGTTTGCGTAAAACTACCGTGACAAAGGCACCTATAGTTGATCATTATCATCTAAGTTATCAAAAACTGCAGTGCGAGAAGGAAGAAAAGTTGTTGTGCAAATACAAAATACAATTGCATGCACTGACACCGTAAAATTATTAATTATTATATAAGACTTCAGAGCATATGATACTTTTTAAGAAAAAACTCATAGTAAGTATTAGGAACTAAGATGAAAAACAAGTATTTTTAGTCAACAGTGGGACTTGAACTTGGGAATATGATATCAGATGTTCCACAGCCTATGGATTTCGATAAGATTTCCTACTGTTTTTTTGTTTGTGTACCAAGTATATACATATGTATTTAAATATAGCTTTGTACTAACTATTTAGTACACATACTTGGAAGTGTGCGTAAGTGACACTTGTTTGATTAAGCAGGTCAGCACCGTGGGCAAAGCAAGAGAGAGGGAATTGAACAGAGGATGGATGTGTACAAAAACTGCGCAGCAGCAGCGGCGTAGGCGTAGGCCTGCACAGTGGTAAAAAAATGAAAGATATACGATAAAAACATACTGACCATAACTATAAGCGACCTTAGGGGGCCCGTCAGAGTCGTCTGATCGTCTGAAACTGGGTCCATTACCCGCAAATTAATACAATTAATGGAGGGAATCGCGGTTAGTCATTTACGTACCGAAGCGTACCATATAAAAAAATGGTCTGACTAAATTTAGCTCTCAAAAGTCCTCGCACCTTTAGAAATCTGTCACCGATCTCCGATAATTGAAATTCGCGTGTACCAAACTTAAACCGCAGAAACCCGCTAATAACGGCGGTACGCTTTTTAAACGAAAACAACAAAAATATTTTTCAAAACCGGCTAAAATGACGTAGACCACTTTTTAACACTAGGTTTACGCAAATTTATTAAGATGTACGAAAACGTTTAACCTCTAGGTAACTTTAAAATGATCCTTGTGGTCTAACATTAGGTGTGATTTTTAAGCCTTAAGAGTATCAAAAGCAGTCTATTTGCCTATGGAAAGTTGATAAAACCAGGCCCTCCATTTTAGCACTCAAAAAAAAATTGATAAACCGCTTGGCAACCGAATTTCTTTTGATAAATGAGGCTAAATCATGGAATAGTCAACCTGCAGTCTAGACTGTTATTAGCAAACCTTATAAAAATTTGTCCAGTCAATCCTCTGGATGATCAGCCGGTGAACATCCGTCAGATCACTCTTATGACTACTGCTTTTCATGATATATTTGATATTAGCAATTGGTCGCTAATAAGAAAAACTTCCAAGAGTATTTTTCATGCCCCCAGATAATTAACATTTATTAAAAATTATAAAACTTACACTGGGTGATTCATTTGGAAAATGTTGGTTGCATTTAGAAAAGAAGTGATTTCGACAGATGACTCCCACTGTGCCTCATGTGAGAGCTGTAACCACTGTGAGAAAGGGGATGGATCGGGTGGAAGGTGAAGCTTTAACAAAAGCACGAGACGCGAAAACACAACAAAACACAATGCCATACATACATGTTTACGTGTTTATAAACAGGCCCACATATTTTCATACAAGCGGGGCCATAAGAATATTATCACAGCACAGCATAATGTTATGACGATTATTTTTTTTAACCCTTCCTTATTGTGCAGACATATCGGTTAAGGTAGGTTTTTGAGAAAAGTTCAGGAATATTTTTATATGAATCTCATATAAAAATATCCTATTATTTCCCCCCGTACTGTCCCTCATACATTCACACGTAGTCATAACATCAGTAAATATATTGGAGACCCGAAGTCGGCAGCGAAACAAGAGCCGAAGCATCGCCAACGCACGAGGGCTACAAAAATGCAGTAATTTTAGCGTTCGGCTTTCAGTTTCCTGAGAGACTTCCAACAGAAAACATCGAAATTCGGTGAAAAATTGAGGAAAAGAAAGAAAAAAAGCTAGCAGCTGCATTTAGATAGCAGATACCGATACCTTGAATTGGTATTTTCCACGCAAAAGTGCATTAAAAATACGCGTTTTTTGAAAGAAGAGACAAAGTGATTACCAAACAGAGAGCCAAAGTTCATTGGACGCCCCAAGAAATCCGAGAGACAAAGTGAAACGACCTCGCACAACGCGCGCAAAAAGAGAGAACTAAAGAAAAATACACACCCACAACTTAAACTGATTGCTATTGCAACGCTCCTTTCAAGGAAAAATAATCAAAGCTACAAACATGGATGTTTGGGGACTCTGCGTTAGCGATACCACGATGGCATATGGCGGCTCAATGCGAAGCGGATATTACCGGGATTACGAGCAGTTCCCCTACGGAACCCTCGAATCCACAACCTCTCAGCATGCGGTCAAGGATTGTTACAGTCGAGTGCAAGGTAATTTTCTTTTCCTTTTAGTATTTGGGTGGAGGCGATAACCTCCTACTGACTGCTATATAGCACTTAGCTTTCAGTCGTTTATCAGATAAATGCACTGGGGAAAAAGAAGACAAAAACCAGAGCACGTTTCTCAGATGTATTTGTGAGTTGCGTGTGCTGTTTGTGTTTTTTGCAAGAATTTATAAATAGCCAGCCTGATTTCTTAGCTCCATATGTATGTTTGTATTTGTGGCGGAACACGCCTTAATTTTTTGCGCACAAACACAGGGTGCCATAAGTAGCTCGGCGCAACTTGCCTTATCAACTACATACATACATATAAACATATGTACATATGTGCCAACAAGCCTCCCTTACAATCTGTTTATATTTACGGCTTAAGTCCACGTGCAGTAAGATATTGGCGCTTAATATTATATGGCAGGTAAAAATCCACAAGGTTTCATCGAAAATTTCCGGCATTTCAAAGTTAAAGCGCAATTATAAAAAAGAGGTATATCATAACCCGTGGAAAATCGTAAAAAGGCAAGAAAAGATATACAATTTGCGGGTATTTTAAAGGTGATTAAACTCGGTCTTATCGAGGTCACCGAAGTCCATTAAAAGGCACTCTGCATTCAACATTAATACGATAATTAAGTAGACAGATATTAAGACTCGACTGTACCTCCAGAATTGGCTCATAAAAAATGAGCAGGTGGTCGGACAATGGATTCTCTTTTGGGGAAGACAAATAAAGCAGGGCTTCATTGTGTTTGTGTGCCAAAACTGAAGCGCAATAACAAAACCGGGGTGTGAGAAAGGTAAACTTTCATTGTTTCTCATATCCGCGTAGTATATGACTAATTATGCCCACTGCATTATCAGGTGCACAGAAATAAAAAATATATCACTTTTAGTACACTTTTTAGTATGATGATTACATTAAATTAAAAATATAGAGTACAAAGATCACATGTTTTTTTTTATTCATTATGGAAGATAAACGATTAGATCATTTTTATAAAGATATTTATAGAATTAAAATTGTTTAAACAATAAAACATTTTTTTCTATGTGGAGTACGTTTATAGATTATGCAAGGTCGCTTATCACGGGCTATGAATAGACTCTTTCCACATGGATCGGCTGGGCTTTAATCAATAATAGCCGTTTAGCTTTCAACATGGTCAATTGAGCAATCAAAGCAATAGTTTAGTCATCAGAGACAGGTCATTTGAGCACTTCCTATGATCCATAAATCTGAGTTCAATATAACAATAATGTTCAGATCAAATGTTCCCTTAAAAACTATGAACTTTAATGAATTGAATCAAATTAAAACTACTTTACTATTTAAAAGGCAGCTGTTAGTGTCACGGGGTCACCTATAAAATAACTGATAGAACAGTGGGAGGAGCAATCATGGATGGCGACGTGACGTCATGAGCGTTAACGCAGCTACGTCACGTAGTCAAAAATCAGCTGTTTGACGGCCCAGAAGGGCGTTCAAATGGGCACGTAGGCCACAAAAAACATAGGAAGCTAAGATGAACGGGGTACTACAGACGAGGGCAAACATTTAGAGCGACCTTCAATAACCGATGACCTATCGCATTCTCTTGATTACAGAAAAATGCAAGCAAGTGAAGACCGAGAAGCAGATGCGCAAGGACTGTCCGTTCTGCAAGGAACACAAGAAGCGACCGCTTATTAACTACATGCGCAAGCGGGAGCAGCGAAAGCATCATGACAGCATCTGCGAGGACGAGGAGGACATGCACGAACATGAGCTGGAGCACGCCCACAATCATAGCCAAACCTCCGTCCTTGCAGCTCCGCAAAGCTGCAAGGTGTGAGAGGGAGCGAGATGACTCTATTACAGACGTTTCCCACTGACATTCGCGAAATGCCATATATACGAGAGTGTAAACAGAAGAAAGGAAAGAAACCCGAAAGAGAGACAACAAAAACAAAGAAATAACCAGAGGAGAAACGAGAAATAAAGCTGTTAAAGAAAGATTGCAAGATTGCAAGAAAGAGCTAAAGAGAGAGAGAGAGTGAGACAGCAGCATACAGTTACAATAATCCAAGGCAACTGTACCCGTTATTTTTGAAATGGTTGCCCCAGCATTTCCGCATCGCGAATACACTACCATTTACAAGAACAGAAAAACTTGATACCAATTTACAATTCCCTATATAACCATTATCTACAATTTCGTTTTGACGCCAACTTCGCAGTTATGTACAACTATAAACAGTAATTTGTTTACCGACAAACAATAGCGCACGATGAAAAAATCAAATAACGAATACCTGCCCCGCTTGACCAACGCATTTTTTTGACCTTAGGCAAGAGAAAAGAAAAACCTGAAAAAAAGCTACAAAAAATATATTTACAAAAAAAACACAACAAGGGAAGCAAAAATAGCAGAAAAACAAAATTTTCTATTTTGCGTACGAGACTGAGTAAATTGCAGTAGAAAATGTTTAAGCTAAATTTTTTGGTTTTTTCGTTGGATTTATTTTGGACCCAATTGGATCAGTTACAGGTATACCATATAGACAAGAAATAATGAAAAACAAATAAGATACGAAAATGCTTCATTGGCGCCAACTAAGGTATATAAAATATTATTTTTTCGATATATGTGTAGCTACTTTGGACCCCCGATTTTTATTGTATCCTTGTCTATATTAGACATTCCCATATATTTATTGTAATACCAACTGAGGATTGCACAGCCAGAGCAAGTGTCAAAACTAATCATAATATTGCTATATATATGTAAAAGTTAAGTGTTTCAAAAGTTTATGCCAAGTTAAATTTTGTTAACACAACTTTAATTATAAAAAAAAACAGAAAAACAGAAATATTATTATGTTATTTCGTGTTCAGGCTCAACTGTGCAAAAAAAAAAGACGGAATATTATAAAAAACGATTTAACATTTGCATTAGTTATTTAAGTAAATGATAAAAAAATTGATTGATTTGTGAAAAAATTTGCTTGCAGGTACCGAGAAAATTTTCAATTTATACAATGTTATATATCATATATATTATATATTTATGTTTAATTTAAATTATAAACGAATCAATAAAAATGAAAGTTATTAAAAAATGAAATTGGAAATAATTTTTTTTATCAACTTTATGGGGTATTGTAGAGATGTGTTCAAACGATGGAAAGTATACAAATTTACAAATCAATATTGTATCAGAAAAACTGCCTTAAACCAGTCAGTGGTTTCTATTTGTGGTAGACACCTGTTCCATCTTACATTGAGGTTGGTCAGTTTGGGCCACCGACTTAAACTGGTTTAGTTTTCCAAAAATATTCCTTAATTTTGTTATGCAAATTTTTACGGAAATCTTTCCGTCTCGCACCAGTTTACTAATTGAAGTTAATCAGTCATTTGACAACTAATCAAAAAATATTCCCCAGGTTAAATAAAAGTTAATAATAAAATGAAGTCAATTTTCAATGACTAAGGTCAGTTTTAAAGCGATTACCCTGGGAAACAAAAACTAACACCTCGAAAAGCAATAAACCGACCTGGAACTTGACCATGCCAAATGGTATCAAATGTTTTCCTACATCTCTCTCGTCCAGTGAAATCAAAGTTTGTCCATTCATAACCTTACTTTAAATATTTCCCACTCAACTAAACTGAATTGAATTAGAGCAATGAACATGTGAGATCAGCTTTTGCTGGTTTAATCAAACGATTCAAGAACAGCGTCGAATCAGAATTAAAATTGCTGTATCTCCTGGGTCCCCGACCGGGTGATCAAATTGTGAATTGCCCCACACGCTATATCTACATATATTATATATATTTACGTATAGGAATGAGTATGCATCGGTATGTGCAATGGGGTGTACGGGGTAGGCGGGATTTTGAGAAAAACAACTCATGGAGGGAAGCCATATATTTAGTTGTTTATACCAATGAATTCAATTCATTTTATATTCAATGCTAACTACTTGGCCTGGGGAGTAGAACTGTGAAATGGCTAAATATATTATTATACACTGACTCAAATTACAATTGTTGTATTGTGAGAAATTAGCGAAACCAAACCATAAATTCTATTACATAAGGCAAAGATAAACAGTAACAAGAACGTGTAACAAACTTTCCCTTTTCATTAATTTTTCCTCGAAAATTTTACCCCATTTTATACCATATTATCATCATATTCAAATAGCAACAGACCTTCCTCTACTTAAAAAATAATGGGCTTTTCAATGTTCAATTAGCAACTGAAATAAGTTGAGTTTTCATTCAATATTTATATTGTTACGTCTTTATACTCCATTATATGTCACATTGTCCCGATACGGTTAATTAGCGTTAATATGTGAGCTAAAAACGTGGCTTATTTGAAAATTCAGATCGCAACAGACGTCCGTTGTTACTAATTATGAAAATAATAAAATGACGTACTATCTGCTGGCACGCTTTGTGTATTAGAAACGATTTTAATTTGACATTTCAACTGACTTTTAAGTCGTGTGAACTGTAGTTCATTTGAATTCAATGCGATGTTTCTGGATTATATTTGAAAATCCACATTCATTCTTTATCTAAACAATGTTTTGTGGCTAACCAGAAGCGAGTTCGAGAAATTTTGATTATGAATTCATTGCGGTTTCTAGGGGCTTTGCACACGATCAGCTAAGCTTGGAATTTACTTAGAAAGCAAGCTTGGGCTTCGACACTTGCAGTTCCGAAGTTCCTACAGCCATGTAAAGGTCATATCAAGTTAAGAAATAATTAAAAAAATAATAATAAAAAAAAGGATATAAAAGGTTTACTTCCTTTAAAATTACATTCCATTAAAAAATCGACTGAAATTTAAAAATGTTGAAACGCCTTTTAAAAAAACTAAAATCTTCCACAGAAGACAAAGCGCAAGGTGAAATTATAAAATATATTTTGTAAGACTTAAAAATTAAGTAAAGTGAAATGAATATTTATTGCACCCACTCAGGTTGGCCAGCAATAAAAAATAGCAAATTAGTTTTTCAAATTCTGTTCAGTTGAACAAAATAATTTTTATACAAGTGCCTTAACTGATTTAATTATACTATAGGCCTTTCTAATGACAGGTTATTAATTATAAAACCAATTACGTTTTAACTATTACCTTTTACTTTTTTAAGTACAAATAATTAGCTCATATTGCTAATTTTGAAACCGCATTTCCAATTCAAGTTTTAAGCTCTATAGCAACAGGTGAACATTTTTCTGTTAATTTGAATATATAATAGAGGTTAAATCCATTCACTATAGTTCAGTTTAAAACAAGTCTAAAACTTGATTCAAGATAAGTGATCTATTATAAATTTTCTTATAAATTGTAGGTAATGAAAGCTATTTTACACAACTCTCTTATCAATAACTTGATTAACTTTTACTACGCATTGTAAATTATCTCTAATTTTCTTTAATCAGTTATAATGGCGATTCTCATAATGTACGTGCTCTGATTTTAAGTAGATATTGTAAGTTGGCAGTTTCCACCCACTAATGACTGCTATTTCCAAAAATTATTCATATTGAGTATTTTGTAATTGTTATTACAGCTCTTAAGGATGCAAAAAAGTTAATCAAGGGCAAATGCAAATGCGAGCCCAAGGCCTGTAAATGTGGAAAAAGGCGACAACGACAACAGCAATTGAAATTGTTGGTGTCGCAACTTAGGAGACGCGATAACTTATCAAGTGTTATATTGTTTTAGTACCGGAGGAGTTCACCAGGAAAAATAAAAAAAAAAAATCCTACCACATTATCTGAAATGTATTTTTAAATCGTTGGGTTGGCAAAGAAGAGAATCTACATGGAAACTTGGTGTTTATTATGCAAAGATAGGAAAAGTACTTAAAAGATAGTCAGTCATAGAAACCCATGGAAAGCGAAAAAAATACAATCGCAGATGGACTCAAAGAAGGTCGCCTTATTTTTCCGGTTCTCCAACATTGTTGTTCCCTTTTTTTTGTTCGTATAAAATCACAAGGGTGCCCTATTGACTTGGTTAAGATATAATTTGGTAAGACGCCATTCTCTAGCACTGTCTTTATGGAAACTCTCATATATAAAACTTAAATCTCTGGAAGGTACTACCGTAACTAAAACTCGAAGTGGCTAGACAATAAACAACACTTAGTGGAACGGGTTTCGGGAAAATATACAACTGTTTTTGGACTTTGTAGTACCTTCAATCAAGAGCCTTTCACTTGGGCGCCGTGTAATTACTCATAGAATATCGACGAATTACGTTGTAAAATGTCAAGTGCAGCTTTTTTTAGACGTATATACGATTTATATTATATAAAACTCTTAATAATGGATTAGTTAACCTTGTAAAAGTGGTAAAACTTGTGATTTTCCTTTGAGAGTAGTCGTTAACTAGAAGTACACACATAAGTACGTAGCATGTGAAATACTACAGAAAAATCAAATCCATTACTCAACTCAAACAATAAGTGGAAATCGTGAAACAAATATGTATAAATTAGAAGGAAACAATTTAAATATTTTATGTAATGATAATGGATATGGAAAAATATTTGTACTATTGACTGCTGATACATTTATGCAATCTAGTCTCATGATCATTTTATAACAATGTAAAGTTCAATACTTTAAACAACTCAAACTATGTAACACATCTAAATGACCTTCCTTCACTTCCCAATGTTTACAAATACAAACGTTTTTATCTAAATATAATTTAAATCAATAAGATATATCTTCTAGATGCCTTCGTTTTACTTAGTATAAGATATATCATAAAATAAAACAGAACAAGTTTGGGTAACAAACATCGGACAAAGTAAACAAAGCTGCTATCTTTTTTATAAGCTTTCTTAAAATAATTTTCTAGAATACTTACACGTGCCTTTCTATCAGGTCATAAATTTTATAAGCAAATAAAAAAAGGCAAAGCAGAAATTTTGAAAAGATATGATAAGAAGCCAAGGCTTTAATCACTCAATTGATTGAGGCGCAGGGAGGTCTTTGATTCAAATTTAAGACCAAGATAAAAAGTTTCGCTATCGAAAATGATAAGAAAATAATAAATAAATAAAAAACTAGCTCTTCCCATTTCCCTAAACAACTAACTCAAACGAATGTAAGGTGACTTCAAGTTTCAAAATAAAATAGAAAAGAAAACATATCATATTTTATCCTATAAAGATAAGCTCAGTCTAATCGTTAGCTGATGTCTCATTTTTCATGATCTTCACACAATTTGTTGGTTTACTTTATTTAAAGTAATTATCATACATTTTAATTTGAGGAACAAACACCAATCTGTCTCTAAAATTCAGACATCATAAAAGGCAAATTCGCGTGTCGGAAAAGTCAGGGCGACGACACATTATCACGAGATCGAATCTCAATAGACAATGGGCTTGGCAACAAAGAGTTCTCCGGAGCATCACGAGATCGATGGAAACGTTAGAATCATGTTTGTCCAGCAATTTATGATTATGTAAATATTTCTATCTTTGAAGTTTTTGTGGGTTATTTCCATAGAGGTCAACGTGTCGTTTGCATTCCCAGTGCAGTTATAGGTGCTGATTGCTTTCCGAGTAGTTACTGATTGTGGGGAAACCTCATTCCATGGCCCGCTGGCTAATCAAAGGGAAAGTGTTGATAACCGATCCGTTGGAGGTGGCAAAAATTATGAAAGTATCGACAAGAAATACACTTCTTTTAAAGATTCGAGCCTTTACATTCCTACTTATAATGGATAACGTTATAATAAGCCACCACTTAAATAAATCAACTTCTTGAATATAATTTTATATAATTGACAGAGAAAATAATAAGGACTTATCGCCAGCGAAAAGTAGACCAACCTACTGACCCAGTTGATAAGTACAGAAATAGTTAGCCATGATTTTGTAACACTTACCCTCAGAAGCCAGGTGAGCACGCTTTCTCGATAAGGGACGAATGTACTGGGTGTTCCGGAACCCAGAAGTCCATTCCCACTAGCCTTTCGAGAATCGGCTAAAGCAGCGATGACTTTTCCCAGTGTCAGCAGACTCTTGTTAATGCTCACACCCTCGCGTATCCTTTCGCCATTTGATCCAGAGACGCTGATGCGCTCACTGCCCGCCAAATCCACCAAACTAATTTTACTGCGCCGTGTCTGCCGGAGCGAGGAAACCGTGCCCGAGCCCGTATCGGAGGATCCATCATCACTGCTCAGATCGGTGAGGTTTAGGACGATGTTAAAAATGGAGTGCGAACGCGAGCTCTTGTCGTTCATGGCCGTGGAAGCGGTGGCACGTTGGGAGTTGCCCACGGCCAGCCAGTTGCGAAGTGCTGAGTAGGAGTCCACCGAGTGGGCACTCAAATCCACAACATAGGGTCCAAAAATTGGGTGCTCTCTCACCTTCAAAGCAGGTCGTTGCTGGTGCTGCTGCTGGACAGGAGTGGACTCTCCAGATGCAGCAGCAGCGTGCTGGACACTCAACAAATCATGGATCTTTTCGTTGTATATCTCAAAGTAGCTGACTTCCACTTCCACCTGCAGTTGCTGCTGGCTTTTCACAGCTTCTATCCGGCGGAACAGCTCATGGCAGAAACGTGGAATAATACCGGCTTCATCATGCGGTGGTCCTCCATCTAAAGCAGCATCATCCAGCGCCTCAATGCCCATCATACTGTAGGATTTACCCGAACCCGTCTGACCGTAGGCAAAGAGACAGGCGTTATAGCCCTCGAAGGCAGTATCGATTAAAGGACGAGCTGTGCCTTCAAAGACTTTTGCCTGGCAGGCGTAGTTCTTCCTCTCCGGATCGCAAGAATAGTAAACCTGATCGTAGCTAAAGAAATGCGTCACGCCGGCTGAGGAATCAGCACTGCTGCCCGCCTGGACAGTCAACTCATTGCTATTTCCATGGACCTGGACCACATTGGTGACCTGACCACGTGTGCACTCCAGAGCGTTGAGTGGACGCACTCGCACCGCCACAATCATGTTACTTTCCTCGGAAACGCTGAGGCAGGAGTCCATCAGAGAATCCCGATCCTTGGGTCTGCTGGAACTGGATTTTCCGGTGCCCGGAGTCTTTGTTCTTCCGGGAGTGTGGTTTGCATTTCTGTAAAGCGACGAGGGCGTGTAACAGGCATTTAGGGCTGTCGATTTCGGTTTCGGTTGTGGGGTGCTCCCGCTGAAGGCCGTATTCAGCAGCTGTTCGGGACGATCGCGATCCTCCTTACGCGTCATCAGCACCTTCTTGCGCAGGCCACTAATCTCAGACGCCGGCGTCGATTTATGCGTACCTCGCGTTTGGAACTGTTGGATGCGCTGGCGCACTGGTGTGCTCTTGTTGCTCATATTTTTTTCGGATATTATTGCTTCTATTCCTGGAATTATTAAACAGTTGCAAGAAGTTTCGAATTATTGCGCGGCGTCGTTTGTTGATTTTTTTTAGCGTTGCCAGGTAGCTGAATTGTTATTTTTCGTTCTAGTGACGGACGACGATCGATAACAAAGCAGGGTTGATTTCAGTTCCCTGCCTATGATCAGGCAGCGCGGCAAGGGATGGATAACATTTATTTTCAAATCTCGATTCCTTAACGGTAATTTCTTTTATTTTACATCATTATAGGCTAAGATTCGTATTTAAAAAACTAAAACCGTGAATTCAAACTATTTATATAACAGTAAAAGTTAATTTTATGCTTATTGGGTTTTTACTGAACGATATATATTTAAAATGTGAGTTGTTACTTTCGGTTTTGTGTGTGTTCAAAAAGTAAGGTGACTCCAAATTTCGCAATTTCAAATTTTCGATTATCGAAACCTTTTAGAAGTAACGAGTTGTGTTCAAAAGTAAGGTGACTTCAAATTTCAAATTTTCAAATTTTTCGATTATCTTCAGTTTTGGGAACAAGAAAAAGTCACATGGGGCCAAATCGGTAATATGGTGGCGAGGCATTATTGTGGTGTTGTTTTTGGCCAAAATCCAAATCCTTGATCCATATTTTTCGATAGCAAAAAATCCCAGCTCCAAAATAACTGTAACTACCCTCACAACCAAACAAAGAGGATGTTCCATTGAAACTTGGTACAGATGTTAGGGAAGAGTGTACCAATATAACAAAACAAAAAAATCGATAATCGAAAAATTTGAAATTCGCGAAATTTGAAGAGTCACCTTACTTTTTGAACACACCTCGTATAATAGTGTACAGAATTTTAACTTGTAATTTTAGTTTTCAACATAAAATACTGTTCACAGTTAAAACTAAAACTAAAAACTATAGTTAATTTTATGCTTATTGGGTTTTCACTTAACGATATATATTCAAAATGTGAGTTGTTACTTTCGGTTTTGTGTATAATAGTGTACAGAATATTAACTTGTAATTTTAGTTTTCAACATAAAATACTGTTCACAGTTAAAGTTATTCACCAACATTAGTAACGCAAGTGTAAACTGTCACGAGTAGTGTGAAGTGCTCATCTCTGTCCGATAACCGATGGCACTGCCTTCTTATCGGTAGCAGCTGTTAATGAGCAACGTAGACAAAAGTAAATATTATTAAAAAATTGCGTAGTAAATAAAGGTGAGTCCATTGTTCATTGATGTAAATTAATAATGGTCAAAGATTTCTATAATCTAAAATTTCAGGCAGTAAAAACGTAGTACAAAGTAAAGAAGAGATCATCAGAACAGTAATCAGCTGCAATTAAGCAGAGATTTAAAAAGTTCAGAAGAAACTAGTTCCGAACGTGTTGTGATTTCGCAGTCGCCGCACTTGTGGCTTTCAATTTCCTTGTTCTCCAATCAAATACCATATAAATAAGCTCGAATCGAAAGCAGGTTTTGCATTCATTGTAAAACAGTGGTAAGGCGTGCAGCTGACTAATCGGAGATATTAATCCAGATCCAGATATATACATATATATTTATATAGCATAAATCGGACTTATAATGTCGCAGCAACCTGTTGCCTTCTTAACCCGTCGCGAAACTTTCAGCGCCTGTCATCGTCTTCATAGGTAATCAAATTGAATGAAATTGAATCTATTTAATTGCTTTATTCAATCACAGTTAGCAAACCAATTTAGTTCGATTTTTATTGATTGGTGGGTCATTTCCTTTTCCTTTTTTTTCAGTCCTCAATTGAGCGATGCCGAGAATCTTGAAGTCTTTGGCAAGTGTAACAACTTCCACGGCCACGGACACAACTATACAGGTGACTAACTAACTTAAATACATTTAAACGCCTGATTACCTGCGAAATGGCAGATATATCATATAGCCCGGACTCAATCAGGTATAGCCTCCCAGTAAAATTGGTAATTTGAGACCGAAAGCCTTGGCCGACAAGCTCGCTTATCAAAACCATATTCAAGTTCAACGCTCATAGGTAATCAAATATGTACACACAGATAGACCGCGAATTGATAATGAATAATGTTGTGAGCGAGCATAAGATGGCGCAAAAGCTTAACTGATTAGGATTATTTTTAGTTTTTATGGGGGTCCAATGTAGAAGCTCAAGTACGACTGTTATACCAGGAATAAGAAGAATATTGTACTATGTTTTACCTTTTTTAGACTCAAATTTAAGATATATTTTAAGAAGACACAATATTATTGAGCATTGATATTTTTGGATGTAACTTAAAGTTTTTGTTGTAGAAGGATTAAGTCTAAGTGTTAAGAATACGAGTATAATTTCCCATCCTTTCAGTTGAGATCACCGTTCGCGGTCCCATCGATCGACGGACTGGAATGGTGCTGAATATAACCGAGCTAAAAGAAGCTATTGAGACAGTGATTATGAAGCGTTTGGATCACAAAAATCTCGACAAGGACGTTGAGTACTTCGCCGACACAGTAATTTACCTGAAAACACAACCAAGATTACCAAACTAATAATTCTTTTCTTTAATCCCTTAGCCTAGTACCACAGAAAATTTGGCTGTGTACATTTGGGACAACATCCGCCTGCAGCTGAAGAAACCGGAACTGTTGTACGAGGTGAAAATCCATGAGACACCAAAGAATATTATTAGCTACCGCGGTCCGTATCCGCTTAATGGAATCTATAATCCCATTAACAAACGCATTACTCACGATTCCTGCACCAATATATCCTCGGACTCGGATTAAATGGGGCAGCTTAACAAGAATTTACATTCAAACTTAGTGACATTGCCTAACGAATTTTATTGGACCAATGCTCAGCGAACACTCACCCAAACTCTTAAACTGAAATAGACACGCATAGAAAAAGACACTTACCATGTAAGCGATTTAAAAGTTATACGAATTACAAAGTATGTAGACGTAATCTATGTTTATGCAACAAATATAATTGAATAAATCCAAAAGCAAATCAAATCATATTCTTTATTGTGATAAAAACAAAGAGCTAGTATTTAACGCAGTACATTTGTTGACATAAATTAACCTAAGTAAATCATATTTCCTAACGCTCTATATGGCAGCTATGTATATAATTTGGTTTCTGCTTTCTGGCAGGCAAGCTACTTCTTTAACGGCTATGTATTGTATAATTAATTTAGGTATTCTTCCTTCTGCAACTCTAACTTATATCACGCTGTGTATGTCTATGTCTGAAGAAGGCTCCACTGCTGGGAGCCCTTTTACCCGAAATCTTGCATTAGTTCTTTCCGTGCTTGTAGTCATAGTCCTGCATGTACAGGCTGCAGTAGACGAGCCAATCTTTCGAATCTGTGGGATCAGCAAGTTAGCGGTTTGGATCATTTTGAAATTGTATGATACTTTGAGCAATGATCTACTTTGATTAGTGCACTCTTGGGGGTTAGTTGTGGTTAGTTTATATAGTTAGTAGCATTTTCAATCCAGAATTAGTAGATGTTAGGTTGTTAGTTTGTTAGTTTGCAAAGATTAGAGAGAATAATAACCACAAAGAAAAAACAAATAAGACATTCAGGTACTGACAACCTAATAAAAGTGTTTGTCTTTTTTGGGAAAAGCTTAGGAACTTTATGTTCTGGAAGTCATGGGATGAATTATAGTTATCAACATATCACAGTCTGATGGTAACAGATACACATAGAACGGCTTAGAAGACTTTGATTGAACTAAGTGGAAAGGCTAGGCGGAATACTAATATTGGTAGGGTTATCTTATTTTTTGGATATGTCTTTTTTTAGCTACATTGAGCAATTGCCCATTTAAGGACTTCGCAAAGCTCTACTATGTTTTGTTTTAGGCCTAAGTTTTTTCAGTTGCAACGAATCTTAATGCGTTAACAGACTTATCTCTTCAGATACAACCGCGAATCCAATTCGTTTGCTATATATATAAATATATGTCTATGGCTAATAAAATGTTTTCAACTATATAAAAAGTGTGCGCTACAATTACATATCTGTAATTTTACAATAATTGTTATGGGTTTTAAAGCATTTACGATATCATCGCTTTGGTCTTTGGTTTCATTTCTCTGCCCTCTGCTTTTTCTCATTATCTTTCTCTCCACTCCAGCCAGGATCGTCTTTAGATGGTGTTTCTCAGGGCCTTACCTGGATTCCTGATCGATATGAAGGGTATCCCGAATTCGAATTCGTTTTTCGGCCAATACTTGAGTAATGGCTGTCGCTGTGGCAGTTCCGATTCTACGTAGAAGTAAGCAAATAGAACTAGAACAGTATAGGCTGCTATGAAGATGAAAATGTGCCAGAAGCCGTGCAGGTACGGAAAATTGATCGCCGACCAAGCTTCACAGAAAACCCGATCATTGATCCAGCAGAATACGGCGACAGCCCAGACTGTCGTCGATCGGATACCTAGACGATACACCCGCTGGTCACTAACTCTGTAAGGGATTTATAATAAAATATATTTAAAGCATATCAAAATATATCAAAACGTATAAATAATTCATGGTTACAAGATTTCAAAGCTAGACCAAGCGTTGTGAATGACATTATTAACCGAACTAAGAGAAACTGTAACGACTAGTGTTAATCATGAATTGGAAGAATGAACAGCCTTTTGCTCTTTTTCTACTAATATGTCTAAGCTTTTGGAATATGAAAAATGTTCAAGGAGGGGTAAGGTATTTTGTAAAAAGTCCGGTATGTCAGATGCCCTACGTGAATCCCTTCGCCCTGGACACAATCAGGAACTTCCAACGGAAGAAAATAAGAATATGCCACGTCGACAGCGATATGGTAACAAGTAAATTTGATTTCGCGACTCATCAGTACAGACTGCACATACACAAGCACCTGGCCAAACCCATTCTAAAGGCTAAAGGAAATGCTACCCTGCAATGCGAGTACCAGGAGATAAAACGGGATAAAACCGCGAAGATACCGGATAACAACTATAAGTAAGAATAAATGTAGTATAAACTATATCTTAAACAGGGTTTTTTCCGATTTCATTAAGAATCGTGTTACTTTTTCCCGTACTTTTTTCTTATACTTTAGAGCTATTTTGGACTTTTTGCAGGATACTGCACAGTCGACCGATTAAACAGCATCAGTTTGTTCCTAACAACACGGACTTTATGATCACCAGTTGCTATGTGAAAGATGCGAAAAATCATCGAAAGCTTCTGCAAAAGGATGCCATAACGTTCATTGAAGATCGCATATCAGAAGACAATGTGAAGGATTTCATAAAGACACAAAGTGTGGACCCCAAACCAAGTGTCCTGATAATGGGACTGGACTCCACATCGCGCATAAACATCCGACGAACAATGCCACTAGTTTACAAATACGTTACACAACCCGGATGGTTCGAAATGGAGGGCTATAACAAAGTGGGTGACAATACCTTTCCCAATCTTCTCGCCGTGCTCACAGGCCAATCGGAAGAAGCAGTAAGGAAAATATGTGATGTTAAGAAACCAGGTTGCCTGGACTCTTTGAACTTCATTTGGAAACGTTTCAAAAGTGCCAACTATACCACTGCCATTGCCGAGGACTGTCAATCAATAAGTACTTTTAACTATCTTAAGCCGGGATTCGTGAAGCAACCTACTGATTACTATCTACGTCCCCTGCTTTTGGCGATCGAAAAAATGTTTAAGGTCACCAAAGAATTTGGCTATCCCAACTGTGTGGGTCGTCATCTCAACTTCAGTTATATCTGGGACTTTGGCAAACAGTTCATCAATCGTTTTCTGGGCAGAGCCCCGATCTTTGGCTTCCTGTGGAGCAATAGTTTTACCCACGATTACTTTGAGGGAGCCACAGCCTTAGACAGCCTCTTCTTTAAGTACTTGAAGTCTTTTGAGGAATCGAATCTCTTTGGTCAATCAATAGTCATTTTGATGAGTGATCATGGCTATCGGTTTAGTAGCTTAAGAATGGCTGCATCTGGGTATTATGAAGAGCGCATGCCCATGATGTTCATCTATTTACCACCTTGGTTTCGAAGCAAGTATCCTCATCTGGCAAAGAATCTCCAGACGAATCGTAATCGACTATCATCTAACTACGATGTTCACATGACCCTGCAGCACTTACTTCAGTTAGATAGCAAATCCATGGATGATTTTCCAGATAATCTCAAGGCAAAGCAGTGCATGACCTGTCAATCCTTGTTGTTCGAGCTGCCCTTCAATCGCACTTGCCAAATGGCTGGAATCAAGGAGAAATGGTGCTGTTGTCAGCCCACCGAAACCGTCACGAATTCCCTATCTGCAAAGACTATTGCCAAGGCTATTGTTGAGCGTATGAATGAACATTTAATTAGCTACAACCTTACCGAACTTTGCCACGATTTCAAGCTCAAAGGCGTTGAAAAGGCAGATCGCAAAACTATCCTATACACTGGTCTTAAACCAGTTGACAAAGACGAGCATGTTTACATAATTTCCTTTCAAACTAGTCCAAAGAATCCTCTTTTTGAGGCCACTGTCCATTGGAATAAACGTACTCAGAAGCTTCTTCCTATTAATGTTGAAGATCTAAGTCGTTTAAATTCATACAAAAACGACGCCAATTGCATAAATCAAAAGAACGCCAAAAAATATTGCATTTGCAAGGACAGCTTAAGTAAGACCAGCGAAGATTGAAATATAATTTATAAAACTTCTAAACACTACTAAATTTGTTTTTTTTACAAAATGGAAATCTAGGAAATGGTGCAAGAACAGTACAATCCCTAAAGTGATATAGAAAAACAGATAGTTGTAACCCACCCACGTCAGACATTACTCAACTTTATGACAGTTGTAAAATCCCGGGAGAATATACAGTGGCACATTAACTTCATAAACCAATATAAACAGTGAACCCTTGAATGGAGTACTACTCCAGGCTTATCTTAATTACACACTCAAATCGATTGAAATGATTGATTGATGAACCGACGACACTTTCCCCAGAACAAATGTTTGCGGTGTTGGGAAACACCTTTTGTGGTTCGATCTTTGACCCAGTCGGGCCATAACGAATCGAATATGACAAAAAAATAAAATTGAGTAAATAAGTGCTGATAAGGTTGAAATAGTTCCACAATCTATTAGAATAGCGACTCAGTTCGGCTTAGTACACCTGTTCCCAACCGATAAAACACAATCGCATTTGTGATAACAAGGATGAGTGATGATAGATACATGATTTATGGACGTGGTTCACTTAGGGTCACATAGGCGGGAAATCAGAACATTATGCTTATCAATAAGATCCTCAGATTTATGAGGGGTAGACTCACCTCTGCAGCTCTGTGTAGAGCATTACCATGGTCGGTACACTCATGAACATCAGAACAAAGGCATTAACAATGGGCTTCCACCATGACAAGCCCGTTGCGGCGATCGCAGACATTAACATGAGCCAACTGAAGGTTTTGCTGAAAACAAAGGAAACCGAAAGTCGGGGATTTAGATAGGGGTGCCCCTTGCCGTATGATATCATTTTACTTACCGATCGTTTTTCACGAACTTCGGATAGTAACGCTTTGGGTAGAATAAAGAAAAGGCCGCCATAAAGACCCACAGTATGGCCAGTTCATCCAGAAGTTGACCAATTAGACTTAGGGTAGCATGGAAATACATTGAACTTAGGCCAACCACGATGAGCAGCACCCAGATCACATGGATTCCGGGGGTAACGAAGCGTCCGTACTCCTTGAACAGCATTATTAGGACGGGCGGAAGGAGTATGAACAAAAAATTGCTAAACTGTTGGGGGAGATAATTTATAGATGTTTCTTGATATAAAAATGATTTCTAGCATATATAATTCATATTAAAAATTCCTAAAAATAAGCTTTAGAACAGTAATGTTAAATAATTTCATAACAGAAAAGCCATTAATCCAATTTGTTCTTTGTGTATATCTAGAAATCGAATCCATTTCTCTCTGAGTTGCCATTTTACATAATTAATAACGTTTGCTTCCTATTTTTTACGTGTCACCTCAATAATTTCCATTAGGTCACGTTAATTTTTGAGCAAATTGAATTAACTGCAATTATTATTACAGAATGTGTGGGCAGCAAAGCGCGAAGTGGAGCAATTATCACATCCAAATTGTGGATGGAACAACATTTACATATCCGTGTTCTATTAAAACAATTGATAACAAATTGGGTTAGGCCCCACTGTTTATATATTCCATATATATAAAGATAATCATGAGTATATCCGTATATTATAAAACAAAGTCTCGCTTTGATTTCCTCATAATTGCCGCTTCTTTATTGTACAACGCGGACTGTCAAGATCGGAGGTCATTAACTCCATTTGTACAACTTTTTGTTGAGCAAACTCAATTAAAACAAAGCCCAAATGCGCTTTAAACGATTTGCACTTTACTGGCCCACAAACGATTACTCATGCCAACGAAATCAATTAAAAGTTGACCATTTGCATGGTCGTTAGCAAGCGGAAGTGTATCGCCACCAATTGATGTTCTACATAACTACTTAAGGCTTTTCTATTTCCCATTGACCGAATAGCCAAGAAATCGATGATAATGCGTTCCATTTGAAATATAAGATAGTAAATGTTGCGACATAATATTTCTAATGGATTGTGGAATAAATAATAAAGTGGACTGATAACCTTTAGAGCTAGAGATCAAGAATACTTTTCAGTAAAGATTTAAAAAAGAACCATTTAAGCTTTGATTTAAATGAATGATTTTCTATTTCAGAAATCAGTTTTTTGGTTCAACGATAATAATATTAATATTGATATTATATTATAATTATAGAAGACACTAAAAACACTTATCGGTTAATATTAAGATAAATTATTAATTTCAAAGCATTTTTTAATCTTTGTAGGACTTTATTACTAAGAAAAGATAAGTTACATTTTGATACGTTTTTACCATAGTTGTTTGTTTATGGAAACTGCGTTTCTCACTAACAGTAAACATGAGGCGATTATCATTGATAAGAAATAATGAAAGTGAGTCCGTAACATATCAAGTTACGTTTGGTGGAAAGCGTATTTTTATGAGAATCGAAATCAATATGTGTTTAGCTAGGTGTTTACCACTACCAACTAAAAAACCTAACAAATATTAAAATATAAAACATTTAATATATTGAAAGGGAAATGTAAAAGCTCGGTTTTGATCGTACTCAAAATATTATTGAACAAATTTAATATACATTTATTAACTTTTCCAGATTAAATCACTCAGTACGTTATGCAGAAAAGCCAGTTTTAACCCACAGGGTAAAAATACGTTTTTTGCTATTTCCACCCGCATAATAAGTATCATATCGATCGGACAGGTATAACGGTAACATCAGGGGTTAATTTGCGATAAGAAAACTGCATTTTCCGGGTGCCGCACTGCGAAAATTCTCAATCACTCCGTCTCGCTTGCTCAAACGAAGCGTGGCAAACAGCATCTTTTGTTTACGTTCTTTCTGCCTCGCTCTAAAAAGGTCAAGGCCTAACATAAGAGGAAAACCCACAGCTGTATGTGTGAGTGTGTGACAACAAGAGCAACAACCACTACAATAGCAAAACTAAATAACTAGAGCAGAGCAACGTAAAATAAATATATATTCAAATAAATTGCACATACGCACCGTGTTCACGAACTCAGCTATATTTGATGAAATCAAGTAATTGCCTTCGCACCAATCGACGGGTGAGCTTCCGGGTCTCAGATGTTCCCAGGCCATGGAGTAAATGTCCACCAACCCACCGCCCCCCATCCCGCCCATTTTTCACCCACTCTTTGGAGAACCCGAATGTAGAGATCACAGCTGATTTTTCTCGATTTGCCAAGGCACTTTTTGCATTTGTTTTTGCTTTTTTTTCCGTTATTCTTTTTTTGCAATCTTAGGCCAGCTGCAATGGTGCACTTTGCATAATAGCACAGTGTGCATGCAATGGCGTGTCTTTGTTAATTGCTTTCGTGTCCCGTTGATAAATGAAATTTAAAATTTTATTCTTTAGTTATATAAGGAAAAAATTGGTACTTTGCAAAAGCAGTGCAGGGATTTTACGACGTTATTAATACTGCAGAGACGCACGAGGAAGTGCACTATTTAAAAAAATAAACTCCAGCGCCCAACGACCGACGCGATAATAAACAAAAATAACAACTGTGTGACCGCGACCAAGTGACCGTTAAATATTCCATCAGACTCTTGAAATACACTAAAAAATACTACGAATATTACAGTGAAATTACAGAACTCTGCAAAGTGTTAACATTATTTAAATAAACAACGCAGAATATGTTGTTATTAACAAAGGACAGAAAGCAACCTTTATTTATAACCTTTAAAAATATATTTAACCAACTTATTCAAATTTAAATCGGAGCCAGTGAATGGTATACACAAAAACTTATAAGCAAATAGGGCCCCCGATATCGAAATATCGATAGACGATAACTGGCAATAGGTTCCGGCAAATAATATATGTAGATGTTCCTTTCCATCCACCGCTTAGCAGGAGTTTGCTTGCGTGTTTTCCCGGGTAAATTGACACAAAGACCATGTTCCCACAACGCAGTTCGGAGCTTTATCGCACTCCGGCGACCCATCAGCCACCACCGGCTCTGGAATTGGCAGGAAACTTAGAGTATCCGAATCTCAATGTTGAAGATCTAAACGCGCGCCTGGAGAACCTTTCGCCGCGACTCCACGACTGCTGGGATAGCATCGCCATCAACGAGCACCAGCATTTCGCACTTGCTACCAACCGACGAGAGGGACGTCATTGGTGGGGAATGTTTTTTGGTTACGCCCGTAACCAGATCAACCGCATGACCGTAGACACAGCCCATTTCAAGCTGCAGGCGGAGCACACAGTGAATATTGTGCGTTATGCCGAAAACAATGTGCTTTTAGTGGCTTTGGGCGACACTCGTCTCCAGGCCTGGTCTACCTACTCGAAGGTGACCAATCCGCAGGAGCCCTATAACCTCTCCCTCGTGGGCGAGTCATTTGCCCATCCCACGCCCATTAGCCATTTGAGCGTATTTAAGGCGGAGCAGCGAAGAGCTGTCTCGGGATCTGCGGATGGCAGTCTTAATGTATGTATAAAATATATTATAGTAAAGAGGAAAATCTAAAATATGCAACTTCTCTTTTAGGTATGGGATCTTTCGGGTGCCGATCTGGCCAGCGTTTATCACTCGCGCTCTGCGCACACAGATAAGCTTACCGCTCTTGCTACGCCTTCATCCTCATCTGACAAGTTTGTGACCTGTGATCGAGGCGGTTGTGCCCGTCTTTGGGATGTTCGGGCAGCGGCTCCATCTTCCACATGCCTCTATGCGGACCAGAGTCATTTGCTTAGCTTTACGGCCGCTGTTTGGGCAGCTCCAACGGAACTGCAGGGTGGCAATAACATTTACCTTGGGGACTACGACGGCAAGGTTCACACTCTTGATATCCGAGTACCAAAGAAATTATCGGAAACCCGAGAATACTTTGACAAGGGACATGTCTCGCAGCTTTTAATTAATGGGTATGCCCTTATAATGTATATACTTTCTTAAGCACTCAAACTCTAAATATTTCTAGGGCATATCTGGCTGCCATGAGCAATTTGCCCGCCGAAGTAAAAGTGGTCAATGTGCTGGCGGAACATGAATTTATCTACAAGCATCATGACACACATACTCGTCTCACCGATGCTGTTTGGGCCGATGATACCACACTTATTACCATTGGACATGGCCGCAAGATGGTTACGCATTCGATTAAGTAATTTTGCTAAAGACCCAGTGATTTTCTTACGTTCTTTTGCATTTATTACGATTTAAGTTCCATTTATATTTACCATGTTTGGCCTGACTGAGATGCTATGACCTAGGTTATAACATTTTTTGTACTATAAATAAATGTATAAGTAGACGTAAAATTACTTATTTTATCATTAACCATCTTGATGGTGAGAATATTCAAATGTGCAGCAGATACTATTCGTTTGATTATAAAACATTTGCTTTATAGGTAAATATCAAATGTTCTTACCATTTTATGTTTTTCTCAACAATTATTTACACACAGTGAAAAATATTACTTAACAAATTCAATTGCTTTATTTCAAAAAGCTTATAGGTTCGCAAGAGTCAAATTTTGTTCTTACATATAGCACTTTAAGTTTCTAAACAATAATCGGTAATATATCGTAATAATATTCCAATGGAATGGCAGAAATTCAGAGCGATAAGAAGCTTAAAATAATGGTGAATGGAAAAGCCCAGTAATAAATGCCGTTTAACAAGATAATTCAGGGCTTGAATGATGAAACCTACACTAGACAACACGTAAAAATAAACAACCGCAAAAAAATACTTGATTTGCCAAAAACACTCGGATGCGGCGGTGTCGGCGATTTGGAAAAAAATGTGATCGCTTAATTTTTCCAGAAAATTAAAACCTTTTCACGCCTAAACCCTTATGCATTACAAATATAACTTAAAAAGAACTATCGTCGTGATCGCTTGGTGGGCGGTTCGAGAAAGTTGTTTTCCTCCTCGATTTCCATGGTATCGAGTTTCATCAGCTTCTTGGCCTTCTGCAGCATTTGAGCATCTCGTAACCAACTGCACTGCAGGACGTCATCGATTGAGGGTCGCCTTTCAGGATCCACAATGAGCATTTGGTTAATCAGCAGTTTGGCCCGCTGCGAAACACCCTTCCATGAAGAGTGTCCATATGCGAATCTGCCCTTCTTTATTTGCTGGGCAGCTGGAGTTCCGTACTCGTCTGAAAAGGGCAAAGTGCCACTCAGACTGCAAAAATAATCTATATTAGAAATATATCGACAAAACTAAATCAGATAACCTTACCAAGTAAAGAGCACAACTCCCAAACTCCAAATGTCTACTTTTCTGGTGTAGGCTTCTCGACCCCCGGTTATAAGCACCTCCGGTGCCACATAGAGCGGTGTGCCGCAGAGTGTCCGCATCACAGAGTCCTTCTGGACGAACTTGCTTAACCCGAAATCGGAAACCTTTAGCAGGGTCTCCTCGTCGTTAGTCTCCAGTAAGACATTGTCTGGCTTTAGGTCACGATGGGTAATGCCTAAAAGTTTAAAAATTTATTAGTATAAGCCATAATAAAGATATAGTAACATTAAACACATCTACGAACACTTTTGAAACCAAGTAATTGAAAATAGTTTTACCCCGATCGTGAAGGTACTTGACGGCATGGCACATTTGGTAAAAGTATAGCTTTGAGATATCCTCGCTTAGAAGCTTGTTGCTGATGATCCGATTTAGCAAGTCACCTCCCCGCATAAACTCTAGCACCATGTAAACCGAGTCCGGTTTATCTACGATGTCGTGCATTCGAACTACACACGGATGTGAAAGATTCTTCATAATCTTTGGCCTCATTCAGCACCCGATCAGGGTCACTGAAGTTTGTACTGGGTCGCGCACTGCCAGACAGCATGTTTTTCTTTACGATCTTCATCGCAAACTGCTGGCAGGTGCGTGTGTCATAGACCAGACGCACCAATCCATAGGCTCCTGAGCCTAGTTTGCGATTTACATAATACGTTTTGTTAATCTCGTCGGGAAGGCCGATCGACTCATTCGGGCTGAGATCCTTGAATACAAAGGCTGCAAAAAGGAGGCAGGTGCACAAAATCGAATTACATGAGACTCGCTAAAATATTTATACCTGTTTGCCGATCGCTTACCTTTGTACGTTGGGTGGGAGAGGGAAATTACATCGTCATTCTTCAAGATCCGCATCTTGTTTGTTCCAATTTTTTCATTATTCACAAACGTCCCGTTGCGTGAGAGGTCCTGAGAAATTTGTGGAAACATTGGTTATTACCTAGAAGGATTTCCTTTTATGGTTATACTTTAGCAGATGGTATTCATTCATACATTTTGTGGAAATAATTTTATAAGTCTGATTTTTTTTTAACAAGTCTCCCTAGTTATTTCTTTATGTATTTTTTAATAAAAGATATGAGTGTAAATTCTCAATCGCAACTGGTTTAATATTTTGTGAGCGATGCAAGAGGAAAATATATTATATTATAATGGCGTTCTATCCTTTAGAAACCCATCTCGATTTCAATTTAGAATCTCCGCCTACCTGAATATAAACTGGATTTGTAAGCTCGCAGTTTGCCCGCTTTATGATAAAATGCACTTTGGAAATGCGCGTCAGGATTTTCTCGGGCAAATCGTTGAGCGTGAGTATCAAATCGTTGGCCTCTCCTCGTCCTGCGGTGAACTCGTCATTGTTGAGATCTAAAATAAATGTATGATATTGATGCCATTACTATAGCATTGAGGACAACGGATTAAAACACAAAACACAAAAGCAATAAATTTGGTTACCAACAGAAAAGGACGAATGCGTATATAGAATTCGGTAATTTGAGCTCGTACCCAACGATTTGATCTTGATATTTTTGCCATACAAACGGCCCCAGACGATCTTCTCCATGGGCTGGCTCTCCACTTGGGTCCAGATATTGGAGGCCTGGCTTTGGGTTCCCTGCGTTTCTTGTTCACGTGCCATTGTTATTCCGTAACACTTTTACGTAGCAACTTTGTAGTTCCGTAATTCGAAGTAGAGGACCGTTAAGTTTCGCTAGAACTGCGCAAATTCGAAATGTCCAGTTATTCAGGAAGGCACTACCACAGGCAGACAAAAATTGTCACATACACAATGGCAGTGCGCGATTTATGGAAAAGCTATATCCTATGTATATTCAACTTTGGAACTCTGAGGGTTTCCTGTGCTCTATTTGATTACATCGAGCTTATCGCGCAGCGCTGGTAAAGAATTATTTCATATTTCTCAGACGAAAACAACGAAAAGTAACAATAATCACGACATGGATGTGGACTGCGCGACGGACTCAAAGTTTTTCGACTGTGTTTGTGATAGTTGCCGCCGTCCAGGGATGAAGTATTTACTACCAGCAGTGTTGGTAAGTTTCTGCATATATCGAATTTAAGAAGTGTTCCCACTAATCTTATATTCTTCTATTTAATTCGTTTGAAGTTGATTAAGCTACCCAATTTATAACCTTCGAACTGCGGGCCTTTGCATCTATAGCTTATAACTAGTCAAGAGTTTTTGACTAGTTGTTAGCAATTTATTTATAAGAAAAAACGTGGTTACAGACTTAAAACTGAACTTAAATGTAATAAAAATAATGTGTATAATAATAAAAAATTAAATAAATTGCACTATTATCTTTCTGTTGGTAAGTTGTTTTCATGTAAGTTAGTATAATTTTAAAATTTCAAATCTAACGCCTTTCGTTAGCCCCCAGCCCTGGCTATACTGACTCCAGCTCCAGCACAAAAATTCGAACAGGTCTGAACTTTAAATTTAGGCAGATATTCAAGTAATTATTTTTACAAGGTTCAAATGGCTTAACTGGATTACAGAACTCTTATTATTAAAAAATATTTTGATAATTCCTTCAAATTCTTAAAATATTTAATAAAAACCCAAATTGTAGCTAATATTTTCTAGCCAACTTGTCATCCCTTTAATGTTTACCAGCACTGAAATGCAGCCCTAAATTGCGGCGTCGTTTGAAAGAAACTGTAAACTAGTACTAATACCATCGCAGAAAAAGAAATAGGCAAAATACAAACAAAAAATAAATAAAAGCTGCTTCAAAATTGTCAAATTAGGAACACAGCTGACAAGTTAAAATTCAATTATTGAATTTGTGTGTTGACAAAGGTGCCAGCTACACTTGGCTGTGAATTCCTGTGTGTTTTGATTTTTCCTCTTACCTAAAAGGATGACGCTGCCCCGATTGGAGACTCCGCTACGGCGGTCCGCAGTGGGCAGTTACCAAGAAGGGGCATCTCGAATGCTGACTCCGCTGAACGACGACGAGGCAGAAAGGCGGGAAGCCCGACGGCGCACGCTTCTGCAGCAACAGCGTCAAAGTACTCTGGAGTCCATCGAGGACAACGAGACAATAAGGAACTGCCTGGAGATTTATAATGGTAACAAACTCAGCAAGGACAATGCCTGGAACCTGACGCTCATTGACTCCCTGGCCAATCTCTTAGACAACCATCACAAGCGGATGAGCAACTTCAAGGTGGGTTTGGCCTTTGAATATTTTAAGAAACATAAGTAATATCCTTCTCTTCCCTTTCAGATAGCGGGCTCGTCCCTGGAAGCCTCTTCCAAGGTTTATGGCCTTCGGGTTGACTCAATCTATCTGGATGCCATGCGCATTTCCGCTGGTTTAAGTGCCCGCACACTAACAGATAAGCAACTAAATGCTGCAGATGATGATGATGGCCCTCAAACTGATCAGGCGGCTGGTGACGGGCAGGATTCAGCGGAGCAAGCCCCAAAAGAAGCAGCACCCAAGCCTAAAAGGCAAAAGAAAGCCGTGTCCACCGTAACGAAGAACAGGGACACGCTAAATAGCCGCCTGGATACGGCTCCCTTGCAGGATCCAGTCTTTGGCAAGCTCAACTCCACAGTTGGTTCCATTAATGCCTCTAATCGCCTGATGCACAATATTTTGCCCAGTTTGGACTCGGAGCTGCGATTGCGAACCACCTACAAATTTTGGGACAATAAGGAGTCCACCGAAGATGTGCAAGATCACACTACACTAAACGCAGATATGGAACAGTGGCCAGCTGAATCTCTGATGAGCACAACCTTATTGACCAAGCTGCAGTCACACGCTGAAAGATCAAATCTGCGTCCGCTGCACACAGGCTATATTATCACAAGTGCTCCTAATCCCAAGGCGTCGAACGACAAGCCCGCAGAGGCTATGCAGGAAGACGATCAGCATGACGAGGGGCTTGATAACGCTGACGATATTTGTGTAAATGAGATTTCCATGGCTTTTGATATTAATGCTGAGTGTGAGCCCATGCCGGACTTGGATGGACACCCTCTCATGGTCCTGGAGATAGACTCCAATGAGCTGCAAGAGTTGACTACCGAAGAGCAAATGGTTATCAACAATTGTCGTCGTCTGCGCAAGCAGACAGAGTTCATCGAGGATTTGCGGCCGGTAGATGGAAGCTCAAAGTTGGAGTACTCATACAGGCCGATGGAGCAAATTTCCCAGTTCTGGGCCGGTCCCTCGCACTGGAAGTTCAAGCGCACCCGGCCGCGCAGCACGTTTTCGCAGACCAATGGCCAGGCGGATACCCAGCCTATTCGGAGTCAACGGCCCAAGAAGTCCAATCTTCTGTCCGCAAACCGCAGAGCCAAGGCTGTAGCTTACGGTAATGTGAAGGAGGACAACTTCCAACTCCTGGATACCACCATAAGGCAGCGCCGAGTAAACTTCCAAAAGAAGTGGGATCCCCGAAAACTAATATTGCCCACTAAGTTCGATTTGGATCCGAATCTCTTCTTTAAATACGAAACGGCGCCTGGTATAAAATTGTCGAAGCGCGTCGGAGAGGATGACTCTGATGAGGGCGGAGATCTTGGGATCGACATTGATGCTGATATGCATCACGATGACGACAATGATCAGGAGCTGTTTAACAACGAACATTTTACCGATGCTGTTCCCGCCAATGTGAGTGTTGTTGCGGCTATTGCCGCTGAGCAAGGGGCCGAGGGCATGATGAATGTGGATATGGGCGAGATGGGTCTCACCCAAATGAATGCCACCTGCAATAATACAGTCTTCGAGATTGGCACAGAGTTCGAAGGTGCGCCGTCGCAGGTAAGTTATACACACTATAAAAGGTTAATATATGCCCTAATTTAAATCATAACGCTTTAACCTTAGGTTGCCAAAGTGATTGTTCCATTCGCAAAGCGCGCCAAGGTGATAGATATGAAAAATTTGAAGAAGTCCTGCAACTCCTTAATACAGAAACAACTGCTAAACGCTACCCCAGAGGAGACGATACCCTCACATCCAAAGAAGAAGAACGAACACTATTCAAAGGGTGTCGCAAGTTTTCAGGATGTGTACAAGAACTTACCCAACCTTCTGACCACCAAAATGTCAGATTCGTTGTCCCCGTCGGTGGCTTTTTATGCAGTTCTGCACTTGGCCAACGATTTAAAATTGCGCCTGATTCCACAGAAAAATTTAGAGGACTTTCAAATTCGTCAAGTTTTGGATTAATTCATTTGTATAATTACGAATTTTACCATTTTAGTTTATAGCAAATGCTGTTAAATTTCCCTCTGTCACGGCTAAACCTTAATCTCTAAACTATAATACCAACTCAGAAAACGTAACTCCAATCAGTATTCCCAAAGAAATACCCTTATCCCAGTCGAATTGAATTTTTGAAGCGAGGTTCTGATTTTATAGATTATTTTACACATAAACTACGAAATGTAAGCAAGTCTTCTATTTGTATCAGGGAAATAATGCCTTCCTCCATAAGGTGTCAAAAATTATTTTTTGTATAAATAAAAGAAATGTTAACGAAGAGTAATCTTGGCTAAGTTTTTTAAGCGTATTAAGAATAAACACCTAAACCTTAGGCCAATCTATGTTTTATTTAAATTTGTAGATAAACTAAATGGTTTTCTAATAATAAAAAGTCTGCACGTTCTTTTTCCACATGAAACAATTTAAACTTTCGCATTAGTTTTGGAAAGTTTATGTTGTGCTGGCGGCTCAGACAGAAGGGAAGAAGTAGTAACATTGTTTTTCGTTTCTGTTGCTCTTTCATTTACATACTCATATCAGTGTACACTAAAAGAAATAGATTACGATATAGCAAACGACTGAAATCAGAAATTAAACTGTAAAGGAGTAAAGCGAAGCCTTTTTAAAGGTTTAATGTTTTTTACCTTTTGGCTTAGGCAGATTAATAAGTATTTTTTTCCGGTGTAAAATGGAAATGGAAATCGCAAGGCGTTTTGCTGGCGTTTTTAGTTGCAAGTGGTTTTTGTCGCCTCCTGAAGAGGATTTTCCTTGGCATCTGTGTATGTGGAACACATGTGTTTATATGTTGGAAAAGTTCGTTGTTT